CATCCATGTCAGTGAAAACATGGATGCTTCACACACAGAAGATCTATACAATCAGCACAGTTTCAAGATTAGAGTCACCAATTCAGTATCTGACCAAATGTCTCCCCTTCTGTTCCTGAGATATGACGTTAAAACATGATGATGTCACAGTCAAGCTGACCTTTGACCTTTTGACATCACCTCATTAGAACTAGTGTTACTTAATTAATGTATGAATTATTGAGTTATGGCCAAAAACATGTAGTGTGAGGTCACACTGACCTTTGACCTTCAAGCACAAAACTTGAATCATGTTATTCTTCAGTCCAAGTGGACGTTTGTGCCAAATTTGAAGAAACTCCCTCTTGTGTTCTTGAGATATTAGCATGGACAACCTGAAGACATTATGACTCCAGCATTAACATGTTTATATGTTATTTCTATTTATTTCTGTAAGTCACAGATAATTGCTAAGACAGGTTTTGTAAGATAGATATTTGTTATTTAATATTATGAACATATTCACGGCTTGTTTTTGTGTGACTAAGTCAAAAGGTAATAACGATGGTCATTTTAGAAAAGTCTTGAGTACAGGTTTATCTGTGTGAGGAAGCTTTTCTCTCGTTGACTGATGGAGCAGAGGCGGTTTTAATACGTTTATACTTCCTCCACCTTTTGATGGATGTGTAAATCACACCAACTACTCACTGACCATGGCTTTTCATTATGTGTGAATATTATTTTCTTTCTGTCTGTTTGTATGTTTGTGCCTTTTTTTACATGGTCAGACTAATATCAACAGTGTGATATTATATATTTACATATAAACGCGTTTATTTGTTTATGTATGAAAACAAACAAAAACATGAAGTGAGTAAATAAAAGGCAGACTGAGCTGTGAGGAGGTGAACTGTAGCTGTGTGTGTGTGTGTGTGTGTGTGTGTGTGTGTGTGTGTGTGTCACAGGTGTCTCTGTAAATACAAGTAACTTTACTTCAGATCAATAAAGAATCGATTAACACCAATATATTGATACAATATTGTAAAGATAAACCTGATGAAGTGTCAGAGTGTGAGCTGATGAACTCTGTGTGTGTGTGTGTGTGTGTGTGTGTGTGTGTGTGTGTGTGTGTGTGTGTGTGTGTCTCAGTGTGTCTCTGTCTCCTCCTCACCCTGACGGGCAGTAATGCAGAGGAAGCACCGGAGCTAACGTCAGCCGTGTGTCTCCAGTGAGCCTCAGATATTAAAGTTATATTGTGAGTGTGTGTGCTGAGCTGGTCCTGGAGCTGCGGGGGATGGTGTCTCCTCCTGAAGCCGGATAATCAGACGCAGAGGCCGGCGGCAGGGACGGCTAGCTGGCTGAAGTTTAGCCCAGGACCGCTGGGTGGGATCTCGGCCTCCGTGCGGGATTTTAACGGGATATTTGTGGACATACATCGGTGGATCGGTACCGGCTGTGGAGCCGCACTGTGCTGGCTGCTGGGTGCGCTCGGTCCTTGATGCCCCGGAGGCCCGGAGGATCTCAGACTGCGGAGCCCCGGAGCAGGGCTCGGATACCCGGGGAAGCAGAGGAGGTAGGTCGGCTGTGGGGGGAAACTACATCTCGTGTCACCGTGTCGCTGTGTGACTCAGGTATATGTCGTAATTACCGGGAATGTGTCGGTAGATAACCAGGCTGCTGTGAGCGGATCCACATGTTAGCTAACATTAGTGTTTTTGTGTTGGAGGAAGGAGCTAGCTGGTGGCTAGCTGTTAGCCTCGGAGCATTCCATTGTCACAGCCCGTTGGTGCTAGCTAAGCTAACAGGCTAACAGCTGTGAGACGGGGACATATTGTGTTATAACCGCGGTGAATCAAACACAGCATCAGACGCGTGAGTCGTCGCTTCGTGTCCGCGTGAGTTATGATCATGAGCTGGATCGTTTAAGCTGTTTTAGACGCGGTGAGTTGTTGTCGTCTCGTTAGCACGCTAATGCTAACAGCGATGCTACCTACAGCAATGGAAAAGCCTCATTTCCCCTGTTAGCATGTTAGCATTAGCTTCTACCTGGTTGCAACACTACAGGGAATCTCAAAATGTCTCCTGGCTCTGTCATTTTGTCTCCACTGAGCCGGGGACATGAGGACGGACCAACCGGGACATCACCTCCCGGTTTATCTCGTTATTTCGGTTAATATAAGCCATAATATTATAACGAGCGCGTGCGTGTGTGGCGTGCACGCGGCTGAGGGTAGGAGGGGTTGGTAGTTTGAAGGCCACACACAGAAACCAGTTTATTGAGTGAGGACACAGGCTGACACGTGTGGTGTCATTTGATAAGGTAAAGTTTATTATTATGGGCTGTTTAAAGTAAAGAACCATCAAAAGGTTTTAATCATTAATGTTCTTCACTTGTTGTGACTGTGTAACAGAGATGAACCTGTATAACAGCTGGGACAGTGGCTCTTACTTGAGTGTAGTGTGGATATAAAGGATAATATATCACAGGGGTGGGAAACAATCCATACAGCTTAGTGTTGTGATGTGTTTTATGCCAAGTATTCATCTTTTTATTCCAAATCATTACCCTTAAATGTTGAATAACAACCCGGGCTGTTATTTGAGACAGGCCTGTAAATACAATCAAATTGTTTATTTAAACCAGTATTAATAATACTTGTATAATAAAAATTAAGCTTCAGATAATATATCAATTACGACGCATTCATTTGATCTGACTGTGACAGACAGAGCATCAGAGCTCCAGCTCCCAGCATACTGACACAACACCACTTTATCCTGTTAAAACAATCCTCACAACTTGGATTAATCTTTATGAAAAAGCCTTTTGATTCTTTTGATCTGACAGACTGAAGGAATATGAAATACTTGCAGGGTAATCAAAGACCTGACACGTCATCTGAGGAACAACCTGCTTTTATACATTCAGATAACTTGTACTATAAAAAATGAACTGCTTGGTAACCACACCAGGCCTCTGATAGAGACAGGCCTTCATTTGTCAAAATGTGTGACCACACCGGGCTGGGAAAGGGACTGGGCGTCTAATGAAGTTTTACAGGAATATTACTAATACACATTAATCTTTAGGGAGCAAACTAGAACAATATTATCAGTTGCTTTTTCAGTCCACTACATATATTTTACTGCTGCAATAGAAGTGTCTGAGGTGAGATGAACAGACTGAAAACTTTGTCTTATTAGATAAAACAGACGTGGGGACATAACTTACAACTGGAAACAAAGGTAATAAATCAAAATACATTTTATAGCAATAATAATATTGTATCATGATAAAATATAAGATCCTGACCAGATGGAACTGGGGTTGATTCAGTAGGAGATTTTTACAGTACAATAACTGAATCAGAAAATATCATGGTTTTACAGTATCCCAGTATGTGTTACTGCACAGTAACTATTGTTATTAACAAGTTTGTTTTTTGATTGAGTGAACGCTTTATTAGAATTGAAACTATTTTTTAATATTAATAAACTCCCTCAGTGGAGGAAAAGAAGTGAGCATGTGCAAGTTAGATTTTCCATCCAGATGCCTTTTTTAATTCTGTATACGTGAGCAAATATAAACCGTCAGTTTTCCTGCTATGGTTTACTTTGACACGAGGGCTGAAGCGATGTACTGCTTATAATCTCCCCTTTATTGTAGTTATTTTTTTAAGAGGCACCTTTTTACGAAATGGTTTCAGGTCTCAGTTAAAGTAATAACACATTTGTTCAATCAACAATAAACCGTCTGTTTTAATTTCTTTAAGGATCATTCTGACTGATGATGATGATGATGGTATAAATTCTGTGATTCTGTGAAACCACAGTATTTTCTGAGGCAGGTATTTTACCATGAAATCTCATATTGTTGCAACCCTAACCTAAACCTGGTGTATCACTGCAGACCTGTGTGTAATGTGACAGTACAGCTGTATCACAGAATATCAAATATAATATGGTACAGTTTATAGTGTGACAGAACGGTCTGGTTCTTGAACTGGTTTCATTCAGACTCAAGAGAACCAGCCTGTATTTGCACTCATGGTGAGAAACACCAGCGATCCAGGATACGATATTATCACGATACTTAAATCACAATACAATATCATTGTGATTTTACATATGTTGCGATATGCTGAGTATTGCTATAAAATATACTGTGATTTATTACATTTCTTCAACAGTAAATTTTGTTACCAAAGGAAAACTTTGAACGTCTGTTTTATTTAATAGAATAAAGTTTTCAGTCCGTTCATCTGACTTTAATCCTTTTTACTGCAGCAGAGTGTAGCCTCTGTCGTGCACTGAAAAAGCAATGACTATTATTCTAGTAGAATACTAAAAGCTGTTTTGTATTTGTAATATTAATAATTTCTGTTATAAAAAAAAAAAATCAATACTTGGCGCTGTGTGACGATACGATACTGCCACAAAAATATCGCGATACTGTGGTGTTGATTTTTTTTTTCTCCCACATGTATTCAAATCAAGGATGTGTCATCAACGGAGGGCGTTACACGACAGTAGAAGCAAGATGGCGGATCATACTGACAACCTGTGAGCTTTTGTTCTGATATCACAGATATTTGTTTTTATCCCAAAACAAGCGAGGACCAAACATTAATGAGACACTGCACACTTGATTTCGCCGACCTGTACAATGTGACACGCCCACATGTCGTCAGCGTTCTCACCTCAGGTGAAGGAAAACCTGCTGTTTCTGGTTCCAGTATGAAACCAACTCCTCAGGTTCTGAACCAGTTTAGTTTTGGTTGAAATGCTCTCGATGGTTCAAAAGAAGGTGCAGGAACTGAAACAGAACCGACTCCATGTTGGTGGAAAAGAGGTGTCTGAACTCTGTAAACATCAGACGTCTTTATTATAATATAATAAAGTATACCGTCTTATATTATATAGGCCTACATACTGTACTGTAAACATTATAAATATATCAATAACTTAACGTTTAATACAGTGAAGTTTATCAGCAGCATGGTGCTGTGGTGAGCAGGTGAATAAGAGCACGAGCTGACAGCAGGTACAGCTCTGCTGAGTCACATGACTCAGGTGTCATCAGGTGTTGCAGTGACAGCTGGGAGTGTCAGTCTGCTGAGGGAGCGGCTGCACAGTCAGGAAACAAACCTGGTGACAGTGTCTGGTTTGATCCAGTCGTTGCTCCAATGTGGTGTTGTTGCTGTGTGGTATACAGAGACCTCTCCATTCTGTTGTAGTGTTGTCAAAAATATTGATTTATTGATACGTATTGATTCTGAACGTGAAACGGTTTCAGTTGATTCACCAGAACCAGCGGCTCTGTCTCGACTTGTTGTCGTCTCATTTATCTTTTAGTCAGAGTGCTAAGTTTTAGGCCCTCAGTGTCAAGTTTCTCACTGGTATCACAAATGTGGGAGTGTGAATCACAAGTTTCATCTCGATACTAAGGTCGCACAGATAGACAGGTTTTAAGGCACAATGTGATATGAAAATTAGCGGCTATCATAGTGTCTACATTTACTCATCTACGATATCGTATGAAAGATGTAACTAGACGGAGAAGCTCACCTTCCTTTAGTCATTTTCTAAGGGGAGACTTTTTACACAAACTTCCAACAAAATTGTTTCAAGTTTTAGTGACAGTAAAACATTTCCCTCTCTGTGTTCAGTCCTTTAAGGGTCAGTGTAACTGATAGCAATAATAATTCTGTAATGTCGCAACATCAAAATATTTTCACATTATTTTCACTGTTAATCAATTAATAGTCTTAAATACATCCCACTTTCTCTGAGTTTTGTTCAACCAACAGTCCAAACTGATTCAGTTTACTGTGATTTAAACCAGCCATTAGTTTCATTATTCATTAATCTGCTCATTCTTTTCTTGATTAATCATTTTGTCAGTAACATGTTAGACCATAGTGAAACATATCCTGCTGTGTCTGAGGTGACGTCTGCACATGGTTTATATATCTGACCAACAGTCGAAGAATCCCAGACTGTTCAGTTTATTATCATGTGCCACAACGACAAGCATCAAATTGACAAATCATTGGAGTCATTGTTTCAGCTGCACTCACATCAGAATCAGGATAGTTGCTGATTAATTGATCGGCTAATTGTCAGAGCTCTGAGACAAAGTCATTTTTACTGCAGTTATTCAGTGTTTCACAAGAAAAAAGCAAACATTAGAGAAAAGTTGTTAAAACGCACCAAAATTTTCTGCAACAAAAAATAAATATATTTAATTGTCTTGTAACCCTCCAGATTTAATTCAGGAACCCATGAGGAGAACTGCACCTGATTGGCTTTAATTTTCTGATACTAACATAATGATATTGATGGGTGTATCTGGTATTAATAAGATAAAAAGTCTTAAAAACAAGTGTTCAGACTTGAGTTTCCCTGAAAGAATCCTGCTGTATATTTCCTGTTTTTCTGTCCGTGTGTGTTACTGTCGCCCAGCGAGCATCGTGCCAAAGTCCATTCAGAAATCTGGTAATTAAATGTGACCTTTATCAGCAGCTACACGCCCAGTAAAAGTGTCTCCAGACATGTTTGTGTCGTCAGTTGTTGTTGTTGTTGTGCGGAGGCAGACAGATGAAGACTTTTATTTGAGTGGCTGAAGTTAATCAGCTGCAGTTAATTAATACTGTCAGCTGGTCAGTTGTCTGTGTTCTGGTTAATGTGCTCTGTGTCAGCTGCTGTCTGCTTGTGATCAGCTGAAGATGGTTTATCAGAGGAGGAAGCATCACTCTGGATTATTTTAACATTTCAAACAAGAAAAACAAGCAGAGCAGTGAGTTATTACACTGAACTGAATGTTGAAATTATTTAGAGACAGTGTCAAACACAAATCAGCTTCACTATAACTCGCAGCATTCACAGACAAACATTTGTCTTTATCTGGACACGTTTTCCCCACAAATACAACATGCTAACGTTATTAGCACAAGCCTATGGCATTTTACATTGTATAAATTAGCCTAGCAGCTAGCAGAGATTTGCTCTGCTCATATTTCAGCCAGGATAAATCACACACAGTGTGTGGAGGTTTTATTGTCTTCACAATTTATTGTTTCTTATCTGTGAAATTAAAGTGTAGCTACATTTCTGTGGAGCTGCACGTCAGGCTACAGCGTAGGGTCTTTGCCTCGATGTGGAGCCCACGCAGTCGGTACGGCGTCGATTCAATGTAGAAGTATAAATTGTGAACACGTTAATGTCTCTATCTAGAGTCAGTGTTTGGTTTGTCCGTTCTGGGCTACTGTAGAAACATGGCGGTGCAACATGGTGACCTCTGTAGACGAGGACCTGCTCCCTGTGGAGATATAAACGCAACCAGAACACAACCATTAGATTAGATTCACACACTGCAGCTTTAATCAATCACCAGTTATTTGCAACTTTTCCTCTTTGTGTATTTCTGTGTCAGATTATTCATCTTCTCACTTTATGTCGTGATACATCAGGTTTTTCTCTGTCTTTAAATACTACAACACCCATGAGCCTCAGCTGCTGCTGCTGTGAAGGAGAAGAAAGAGAATAGGAGTGGGAGTGGATTCAGAGAGTTTCATTGTTAAATTTGAGAGGATAAACACATTGGCGCCCAGTGGCTCAGCAGGTGGAACGGGCGCCCTGTGTACCGAGACTGTGTCCTCGCTACAGCGACCACAGGTTCGATTTCAGCCCGTGGTCCTACACTGCATGTCTCTGCCCCCTTTTACTCTGAGTCTGTCCTGTCTGTTAAAGGCAAAAAGAAAAAACCCACATTGCCATTGTTACTGAATTTGTACCAGAAGTGATGCACAGTTCAAAAGTAAGTTATTTCAGCTGCAGGTTGTGAAGTCAGTGATCTTTACCCTCCACCTGCAGTGAACCACTGACACAGGAAGCGTTCAGTAACACTGCAGTGCTGTGACGTCTCTGCAGTGATGTTTCATCGTTCTATCAAACCTGAGCAGAGTTTCAGTCGTGACTCATTCAGAGGAAATCCAAACATCAGAGTGATGGTGAAGGTGATGATGCATTTAATGACACAGTAACATCCAGGAATGTTGAATCATCCTGAAGCTGAGTGAGTCACCAGACTGCAGCTGCTGCTGGTTCATTACAGAGGAGAAGAATGAATGAATTACAGTTTTAGTTATTTGAACTGTTTATTCATTCAGTTTTTATTCATTGGTAAAAGTTATATACAGTTTGATACCTGAGCAGGTAGAGGACAGTGTACCTGAGCAGGTAGAGGACAATGTACCTGAGCAGGTAGAGGACAGAGTACCTGAGCAGGTAGAGGACAGAATACTGAGCAGGTAGAGGACAGAGTACCTGAGCAGGTAGAGGACAGAGTACCTGAGCAGGTAGAGGACAGCGTACCTGAGCAGGTAGAGGACAGAGTACCTGAGCAGGTAGAGGACAGAGTACCTGAGCAGGTAGAGGACAGAGTACCTGAGCAGGTAGAGGACAGAGTACCTGAGCAGGTAGAGGACAGAGTACCTGAGCAGGTAGAGGACAGAGTACCTGAGCAGGTAGAGGACAGAGTACCTGAGCAGGTAGAGGACAGAGTACCTGAGCAGGTAGAGGACAGAGTACCTGAGCAGGTAGAGGACAGAGTACCTGAGCAGGTAGAGGACAGAGTACCTGAGCAGGTAGAGGACAGAGTACCTGAGCAGGTAGAGGACAGAGTACCTGAGCAGGTAGAGGACAGAGTACCTGAGCAGGTAGAGGACAGAGTACCTGAGCAGGTAGAGGACAGAGTACCTGAGCAGGTAGAGGACAGTGTACCTGAGCAGGTAGAGGACAGTGTACCTGAGCAGGTAGAGGACAGAGTACCTGAGCAGGTAGAGGACAGAGTACCTGAGCAGGTAGAGGACAGTGTACCTGAGCAGGTAGAGGACAGAGTACCTGAGCAGGTAGAGGACAGAGTGGTGATACCCTGCCCTGATCATATCTGAGGTTAATTTCTAGTTTATCGGTCTAATATTGCCGTATTGAATTGTTAATGCACCATAACAGCACCGCCTGCAGTGTGTTTGGAGTCTGAAACGTTTGGTCTCCTCAGACTGGAGCTCAGGAGCAGAGGCTCTGATGGTGCAGTGATAAATGATGAACTACACCTGATTAAAACAGTTCACCGGGAGAAATAACAGTGTTTTTGATTTACGTGGAAAGTTGGAGGTCAGATCCAGGTATGACGTCACACCTGAGCTGATTGCACTCCAGGTTAATTCAGTGAACTGAGATGATGTTAGCAACACCATTTCAAACCAGGTTAGCCACCGTTAGCAATATGAACACATTATGTTGTGTATACAAACACATGTTCTGAGACAGACGTTGGACAGGACTGTGTGACCGTTTAGTGAGACACATCTGAGACAGTTACTGTTGATGGGCAGAGCAGCCATATTGGATTTTTACGTCAGGGTTGGTGAGGTTCCTCTGACTTCAGACTTCAGGTGACATAACACCAGTATCATTTTTAATATGATATGAAAAATTCATATCATGATACTCGCAATATTTCCACTTGTTGACACATTGATGTCATACAGTTACCTACGGCAACAACAAGCATGGCTGACAGTGAGATGATGATGGACTCTGTGGCGATTCCAAAAAGAGGAGGAGCTTCAGTAGTGTGGGATAAAGTGTGGCGTCAGCTCAGAGGGAACTCATTCAGCAGCTCCTCTGGCAGCAGCACAGTGATTCTGTCTCCTGACAGCCTGATGACTGGAGATGAGTTATATATATACATATAGGTCCCAGAGGACATTTGTTTAATGTGTGATTAGTTGAACTATTAATATTGTGACAGAATCTGACTCTGACTCTGAGTTACTGTTGTTGTTCGCAAACTAAAGAAATGACATCATCATTTTTATTTAATTTTTACTGAAGATTTGAAGCAAACTGTGAAACTGCATCACTGACTCTGTGGCAGTTTTATCCTCTTAAATTCATAATAGCATTTTTTTTGCTAATTTGTCATCAAGAACATCGTTATCGCAAAGATACCCTGAAATATCACAATATTATTGTAGGGCCATGTCGTCCATGTCTAGTATAAATATACCAAGTGGGTAGAAAACCAGTCAGAGAACTGAAGCAACTGGTTGAGATGGTTAGTGAACCAGTCTGAGTGACTGAAGTTTAACAGGAAGTAAGAACTCTGCATTTTCTAGTTTCAGTAGTTTTTCTGTCAAGTTTGTCAGAAACCAAAAGAACAAACGAGATTAATGGATCACTCACACATCTGTGCTGTGGAGGCATGATGGGAAATGTAGTTTGTAACTGAGTTTGTACACTGGAGATAATGACTCTGTCTGTCTGTCTGTCTGTCCTCCAGGAGTTTGTCTGTCTGTCTGATTGGACCCCGGTGGACCACCAGCCCCTCCCATCATGAACCCGCTGAATCAGATGAAGGCTGGACTGGCCAACAACCCACACAGGTAAATACACACACACACACACACACACACACACACACACACACACACCCCTCTGACACTGATCAACCTCACAGTATTGATCTGTTAAATGGTCGTAGTGCGTCACTGAGCTGACGCCTCTGTGTGTGTCTGCAGCGAGGGTTCGTACCCCTACGACCCCTCCAGCTGGCAGCAGCCCAACAACCAGCCCACAGGATCCCTCTCCGTGGTAACCACCGTCTGGGGAGTGACCAATCCCTCGGCCAGCCAGGTATGACATCACCAAACAGGAAGTAAAAGAAGAAGACGGAGATTGATTTATAAACCTTTAATGAAGTGGTGTGTAAGAAGCTGTGTGTGTCTCTGTGTCTGTCAGGGTATGGGTGGAGGGGTGATGGGGCCCGGGGCCAACCCAGGAGGGGGGCCCATGATGCAGGGCCCTGGGGGTCCGGGCATGGCCGGTGGTCCCGGAGGCTACATGGGTCAGCAGGGCTACGGAGAGCCCAGCAAAGGCTACATGAACCAGGGCATGTACGGCCGGACGACTGGGGGCTACGCTGGAGGACCAGGAGGCTACACTGGGAGGTGGGTTTGTTTGTTTGTTTGATTGTTTGTTTGTTTTTGTGTGATTTTGTAAATTTTTGTGGGTTTTTTTTTTATGTGTTTTTATTATTATTATTTTTTTGTTGTTGTTTTGTTGTTGTTTTTTTGATTTTTGTTTGTGTGTTTCTTTTGTTTTTTTGTGATTTGTTGTTCTTTGGGGAGTTTTTTTGTTGTTTTTTGTGGGTATTTTTAAATATGTTTCTTTTTTTTGTTTATTTTGTTTATGGTGATTTTTTTCCTTTTTAAAATTCTTGTTTTATTTTTTATTATTATATTTGGGTTTTTGTGGTTTATTTTGTTTTGTTTTTTTGTAATTTTCTTTTTTAGGATTGGTGTTTTCTTTTAGTTTTGTGAGTGACAGGTTAAAATAAGTCTGTAAAACTTTATCTAACAGCCTCCTAGTTTGCAATAATTCCTAAAATGAACAGAAGTGGAACTTCTTGAGAAAATTCTTGAGAACATTTTATGCTTCAAACTAAAGGAAGAAACAAAGATAAATTAAATCGAGTTATTTCCAAGTATAAAAAGAGGCTTTTTGTCATTTAAGTTCATCACATGTTAGTAGTAGTAAATTGAGTTCTGTCAGTTTCTCAACATGAAGAATTGTTCTGCTGAGGGACAAAATATCAGAGAGCTTATGATAAATAAAGATACAGAATATTGTTTTGACTGTATGTAGACTAAACTTTATCACAGGCTACTTCTCATAAATAATAAATCAATAATGAAATCAAATAATTTTAGTATTTTCTATCATCATATAAAAACACCACGTCACATTGTTACTGTGCAGAAAATAAAACAAAGTGATTAAAATCTGAAACTGACCCTCCTCTCTCTCCGTCTTCAGTTACCCATCAAACCCCGGCGGCTCCAGAGGTTCAGCTGACTTCACTCAGGCCGCTGCAGCCGCCGCCGTCGCTGCTGCCGCTGCCACGGCAACCGCCACGGCCACGGCAACTGTCGCCGCCATCCAGGAGAAACAAAACCAGGAAATGAACTATGGACAGGTGAGGAGGAGGAGGAGGAGGAGGAGGAGGAGGAGGGAGTTAGTGCTCCCTCTGCTGGAGACTTCAGGTGTCATCGTGGTTATTTTAATTAATCATGTTCCTGCGACCTGACCTGGAGGTCATGTTGGAGCGTCTCTACGTGTAACGACACAGGATCCGTACGTCCACATAAATGAGTCTGATGATGTGAAGTCACTTCCTGTGGTGTGTGGAGGTTTTAAAGCTACAGTCAGGACGATGAAACGTGAAGATAAACGAAGTGTATTCTGGTGATGTCTCACTGACATCACGTCAGTCCGTCCCTCAGTACCGTCTCACTTCCTGTCTGCGTCTCTGCTCCTAGCTCTTTGGTTCCTGCTGATACTGATCAGTATTTTCCCTCAGAACAAACACACAGGAGAGAATAGGTCACCTGTCAGGGACTATTTTCAGCGGCGGATTGATCCACATTTGGTGCTGTAGTGAGTATGTGTAAAAACAGATGATGTAATCGTGTACAGAGTAAACATGTTATTATTTGTTTGTTGTGTCAATCAGATGGGAGGTCCGGCCTACAACAACCAGTTCATGGCCCACTCTGGCCCCCGCGGCCCCCCTGGCATGGCTCCTGGAGGTATGGGCCCCGGGCCTGGACCCACCAGGGGCCCCCCCTCAATGGGCCCCATGTACGGCCCTGGTGGCGGCCCCCAGAGGGTCCCTCAGCACCCAAACTACGGCCCCGGACCACAGCAGGGCCACTTGAGGCCGCCACAGGGCCTCAAACGGCCTTACAACTCTGAGGTGAGGAGATTCAATCCGAGTCCACAGTAATCAGATTAAACCTGGTGTAATCTGATTACATTTAATGGGATTACAGTAGACTCTTATATAGAGAAAAAAATAAATAGAAAAAAATAGAAATAGAAAAAATGATTTAAAACAAAAGTACCTAATGCAATTTAAAATAATAACAATAAAATAAATAAATAATTCATCATCATTATTATTATTATTATTATTATTATTATGATTATTTCAACATAATTAAAATGATGTAAATTAATATACAAGTCATTTCACATCCTTCCTTTTGTTCCTCAGTCTTTCCCAGGAATGTCTCAGCAGTACGGCGTTCCCGTTGGTCCCAGTGTGAACGTGATGTCAGGTCCTGGTGGCGCTGGTGGTTCAATCCCAGGGTCAGGCGGGGGCGGTCACGGCGGCCCCGGTCCGTACGCCGGCCCCAACATGCAGTATCATCCAGGTGGAGTTAATGTTACTGCAGGGTTAAAAGCTGCTGACTAAACTGCTGTTTTGTTTGGTTCATATCAAAATGTTTTATTGATATGTATATATTGGATTTTTTTTTTTTTTTAGATAAAAAAAAAAACATCCATTAACGTTGATTAATGTGTTTATAATGTGATGGAAGGATTGTTTTGAGTCAAAGGTGAAACAACAAAGATTTGATGGGTTATAGTTTGATTTGACGCCTCGGACACTGTCACTGATGTCATCACCTGTCATTCTGTTAAAGTTCCCTTAGCTTAGCACAAAGACTGGAAGCAGGGGGAAACTGTTAGCCTAGCTTAGCACAAAGACTGGAAGCGGGGGAAACTGTTAGCCTAGCTTAGCACAAAGACTGGAAGCAGGGGGAAACTGTTAGCCTAGCTTAGCACAAAGACTGGGAGCAGGGAAACCTTCATCCAGGTTCGGGTGTGTTGGTCAGTGTTTCAGGATCTTTTCTGTCTGTGTACCTGCAGGTCCTGGTGGTCCAGGTCCCGCCCCCCAGCGATCAGGCTCCTCCCCCTCCTATCAGACCCATAAGATGCCCCTCCCACAGTACCCCCCCTCTGGACCCCCCAACTCACAGTACTACAAGGTGAGGAGCTTCAACAGAGCTGGTTACAGTCAGTCAGCATCGGGAGGCTGCTTCCTGTGTGTGTGTGTCTGTGTGTGTCTGTGTGTGTGTGTGTGTGTGTGTGTGTGTGTGTGTTGTATATTTGAACATAAACATGTTGTTGTTTGTGTGTTGGTGCAGCAGGAGCAGTTTAACGGTCAGGGTGGAGGTTTGAACGCTCTGACAACAGGGGCCGCCGGTGGAGTCTACAACTCCTTCAACCAGCCGTCTGGGGTGAGTCTGACTCTGTGTGTGTGTGTGTGTGTGTGTGTGAGCAGTTTTCACATCAGATTAAATGACCAATCGTTGCAGCTCTACTTTAATGAGATTAAACTAAGTTTATAAATAAGTTTTAAAATTAGCTCCACGTGAACTGACATTAAGCTCCGCCCACATGTTGATGCATCAATTATTTTCCTGTGTTTTGAGCCTTGAAATCAGCTAATTGATCTCAGAGAGTTTATACATATTATTACTGTAATTCCTGATTCATGGTAATCTATTACATGTCCATGTTACAGAGTGGCAGGCCGTGCTGTGTAGCATGTGTGGATAATGACTCTGATGGCGGTGAACATGAGGTGGAACCACTTACATTAAATCTGTAGACCTGAACTCTCTGACCTCAGTTTGAAAATCACTCTGACGCCATGGGTCCTGATCATGTGATGATGATCTTCACAGTGACACAGTTTATGTAACGTTGTCAGACAGTTTTATAAGAGGCCGTAAAAACAGCTGACTCCTCTCTCTGAGGAAACGTCTCGGGTTTCAGAGGGTTAACACGACTCTTCATGTTCACAGAAACGACCTTTGGATAGATAATGAAAATATTTCCTGCTCCGACGGTTCTGGTGTCTGTAACAGTGACGATAATCATCTTCCTCTTCCTCTTCCTCTTCCTCTCAGCCTGGTCGAGGGTTGCCAGGTTACCCCTCCTCGCCTGTTCCTGGAAACCCGACCCCTCCCATCACCCCCAGCAGCTCCATGGCCCCGCCCTACATGTCGCCCGGCAACAGTGACGTCAAGCCGCCGCCCTCCTCTTTCCTGCCTGACATCAAACCCAACATGGGCGGACTGCCGCCGCCGCCTCCCACAGGTATGAATATACACACATAAACAAACACACAGCAGGTTATTGTCAGAAGAATAATCAGATTAAAGATGATGTCATGTGTTTGGTCGTTACGTCTTCACTTTGTTGTATTTAATATTTAGATATTTTCTGTATCTGTTTTCTGTCTCGCTCTCTGCCGTCAGTCTTCACACATTTTAATCAGTTTGAAAGATGAAATATTAATCTGACTGTATGGTGCACTACATCAGATCTGAGACACAGCCCAGGTGTCTGACCCGTGTCGACTTCCTGTTTACAGGTAACCCCAGCGACGACCTGCGGCTGACCTTCCCGGTGCGTGACGGCGTGGTCCTGGAGCCCTTCAGATTAGAGCACAACCTGGCGGTCAGCAACCACGTCTTCCAGCTGAGAGACTCTGTCTACAAAACACTCATCATGAGGTGAACACACACACACACACACACAGAGGGCCCTGACAAACCAAGCTGACAGTCGGTCGGTCGATGTCAGGCTGTCAGCGCAGTGTGTTCCTGTGAGACTTTGAACACTGGAATATTTTGTGTTTTTGTGCCTCACACACACACATGGTACGAATTGTTCACTCAGTTCACTCTTGTGAAGAAGCATGTGACACGATCACGCTGCTCACTTCACTCGTGCATCTTAATTTGTGCACTTTGTGTCATTGTGTCACCTCCATCACGTCTAATGACATCTTTACATTTACTAACTGTAACTCACTCAAGTCTGGTGTGAACACATGATGATCAATAACTCTGTGTGTGTGTGTGTGTGTGTCAGACCGGATCTGGAGCTCCAGTTTAAGTGTTACCACCACGAAGATCGACAGATGAACACTAACTGGCCCGCCTCCGTCCAGGTACCTCCTCGTCCTCGTCCTCCTCCTCCTCTTCATCTTCTTCTTTTGTCTCAACACTTTATTTCTTTTTTTATTTTTTTGTTTCAGAAATGATGTCTTTATGGAATATATTTTAATGGGATCATTGTTATGAAACTTTTACTTTCTGCTAAAACAGGAAAATAAATCAGAATTAAATAAGAACAATGAAATAATAACACAGTTGTTGAAAACAAACAGAACCAGAATGTTGATGAAATATGATTCACACCTCATTTCCACTTGAAACTGAACAGGAAGTTCAGTCATTCCTCATCATGGGAATCTCTCTGGTATCTGATGTGCCTGTGAAGCTCCTCCCTTCAACTTTTACGGCAGATTTCGGAGAGATCGTATGACAGTGTGCTAGCTTAGTTTAGCTTAGCTTAGCTTAGCTTAGCTTAGCTTAGCTTGATTGTCAGGTGAGTTTGTCTGATTAAATATAACTTGTTTATCTAATTTAACATATTGTGAATCTGAGTAATGTTATTCTGTTAAAATATGGTTATTCATTATAAACAGTCAGACATTCATTTGTATTTTTAATTAAATATTTTCCATATCGTGCCGTGCACCTGGCAGGTCAACATCTTTATTTATTCATGCAGTATTGGTCCTGTTTCTGTCTCGGTTATGTTCAAAGCCAATATTCCACAAGCAGACTAAATAAGTCCCGCCCCCACGGCTGCAGGTAGTTTCTATCAGGTTTCTGTCCATAAAGAAATGACAGAGGCGTCATCTGTATATTTATGGATCTACAGACACCAGTCACAGACGTAAATGGAAACGAGGCGTCACTTTGAAATTCAAGATAAAGACAAATAAACTGGCATCAAACAAACGATGGTGACACAGGTGGTGTCAGATCTGATGAAGAACATTATCCTTTAGTCCCAAAGATAAAAATAATCTCAGGAATCAACTGAAGGTGTTTTTGACACGTTGTAGAGACACTGAGAATCAGAAAATATATCTGACACAAGAAGTGACACTTTCTGGAGGCGGGGTTAATATTAGGTCCATCTGCAGAGCTGTCTTTGTGTTCTGTCTTTATTTACCTCCTCTTATCTCCTCCTGCTCCTCCTGCTCCTCCTCAGGTGAGCGTGAACGCGACTCCTCTCACCATCGAACGAGGCGACAACAAAACTTCCCACAAGCCTTTGTACCTGAAGCAGGTGTGTCAGCCGGGCAGGAACACCATCCAGATCACCGTCACCGCCTGCTGCTGCGTAAGAGCTCTCACACACACACGCATGCATGCACGCACGCACGCACGCACACATCATATCTTATACATACAAAGATGTTCACACGTGGTTATTTTAACATACCTGTCTGTGTCTCTGTGCAGTCTCACCTGTTTGTCCTCCAGCTGGTTCATCGTCCGTCAGTCCGTTCGGTGCTTCAGGGTCTGATGAAGAAGAGGCTGCTGCCTGCCGAGCATTGTGTCACTAAGAGTGAGTTTAATGACTCATTAATTTATCTCACTGTCAGTCAGCATCTTAATAACTCCACCAGCCCTCGGTGTAGGCAGTGCAGGTGAATGCTTAGGGCGCCGTCATCTATAGGGGGAGGGGTTAGGGGAGCCCCCCCACACTCGCCTAGGACACCAGATGTGTTGGGGCGCCACCTGACATCACAGCCTCTGATCAACTAGAATCCACTGAGTTGCCTGTTGTTGATTGATTCTCAAGCTTTTGTAAATATTTCACATTCCTGTATTTGACTCTGATATTTTTCATATTAACTTCAATTATTTCCGTCTGTGTCTCAGTAAAGAGGAACTTCAGCAGCGGTTCGATCCCCGGGACTCCCGGGTTAAACGGAGAGGACGGCGTGGAGCAGACGGCCATCAGAGTGTCGCTGAAATGTCCCATCACTTTCCGCCGCATCCAGCTGCCCGCCAGAGGTCACGACTGCAGACATATACAGGTCAGAGGGCCACAGCCAATCAGGACGCTCCACACTGTGATGTCGGAGCGCCAGCCCCGAATTTACCAGAGACTGTCACATTTTTCTAGAATCAGAAAAAACATTAAAATCAAGAAGCTTTAATAACATAAAGAGTGCACATGAAAAAAACACTGATCGATTACTCTGTCTGTCTGTCTGTCTGACTGTCTGATTGTCTGTCTGTCTGTCTGACCGTCTGACCGTCTGACTGTCTGTCGCAGTGCTTTGATCTGGAGTCGTACCTGCAGCTCAACTGTGAGAGAGGAACATGGAGGTGTCCTGTGTGCAAGTACGTCTCTCTCACACGAACACACTCAGTCAGGGCTGGACCATAAAACGACCTCGACAGGCGGTCGGGGTAAAATTTATGTCGATAACGATGATAAACTTTTGACATTTCCTGATATTAAAAAGACCGAACAGCCTGTCACACATCGGAAATAAACACAACAAGCAGCAGCCAGTCTGTCTGCTGCTTCTCTCTCTGCTCTGATTGGCTGCCTGTCTGCAGGAGGGCGGGGCTACGTGGACAGCAGCGAAGGCAGTGAAACAGACTTTAGGACATATTTTACTGGAGTCAGTGATCACAGAGCTCATGATCCCTCAGAGCAACAAATGTGAGACAGTGTGATCGATTAATCAAACACATGTTGAACATGAGGAACACAAACTTACAGAAATGTGGCGTCTTCGGGTTGTTGTGCTCGCAGTAACTTCCTGTCTCCTCTGAATCCACACCTGGTGTGTTTCACAGCCACAGAGCTCGATATGCTGAGGCTGTTCTCATGAACCGTTCGTACGTTTACTACAAAAAGAACCAAAAATTGGTACATACACAAACCACGTAATCATGAACCAGTCATTCGTGCATAACCTACGTATTTTGGAAAGCTATGATCACATGACCAGTGTGCTGACAGGACTGAAGAGTAAAGCAGGAAGTGGTCTGAGGCAGGATCAGGTGGTGGACGGGTCACAAAGCGCAGGACTTTCCCCAAGAGACTGCGTTCGGAACCGGACTTTGAGTTAATCATTTTTAAGTACATCGTCTCCATGTTTCCTTCCCTAACCTCCGAAACTTTATTTTGCTAACTAACCCACGTAACGTCATTCATGGGGCGCTGATTCATAGGATGTCATACTTACTGTTGTACGAGAATACGTTGTTACGCCAAAGTGCTGAAAGTGAACCGGTGTTATCGTCTAAAGTTTAGAGACTGTTGACAGAAAAGCTACAAACACTGCGTCACATATACCGAGGTCAGACGCACCAAAGCTCAGAGTAAGACGGTCTGCAAGATATTCAGTCAGTCGGTGCCGACCAAGACAGGAAACACACCTGAAAAGGTTCCAGCTCAGCGACCACACCATGAATTTATTATAAGACGAGCTAACATGTATATTATATATGCTGTATATATTTAAATAAAAATGTTGTAAAGTTAAACTAAAGAATCCTTCAGGCTCCAGTCATTAACAGGGACTCTTCATACTGTCGACATCATCAAGTTATATTTTGGGATAAATATTGATCTTAGTTTTTCCTCATCGTCCAGCCCTACGTTCAGAGTCTTTCTACACAATTCTTATGTCCTTTATAACTTGTAACCGTGTGTGTGTGTGTGTGTGTGTGTGTGTGTGTGTGTGTGTGTGTGCGCACGCAGTAAAACAGCTCTGTTAGAAGGTCTGGAGGTGGATCAGTACATGCTGGGAATCCTCATCTACGTTCAGAAGTAAGAAACTTTATTTCTAACTCCAGACTTTATCTTGATGTGTTCTGATGATCTGAAGCACTTAAACTGTTTGAAGGAGGCTCAGGTGGTGTACTTAGACACTTAGAAATCTCAAAGGTGTGATTTTCAATAGTCAAAAATATAATGCCTCCTCCTCCTCCTCCTCCTAACACACTGATGTAGAGATCATGTGTGGAGGTGATGTGATGTAGTGCACATCATGAGCCAGCAGAGGTCAGTCTCTTCTGGTGGAACAGGAAACTGAGCTGAGAAAGATGGCGACTGTGAGTGGTGGGGATAACGTTACAGGACTAGTCAAGTAGAAATGTGCCACATATGATTTTATCTTAAGACTTCCTCTGTCTGTAAAAGCAGTTTATTTGCCACAAGATTCAACTCAACACATCGTCTCAGCCCGCTGATGGATCGGCTTCTGCTGCGAGTCTAATTTGAAGTAACTTTGCTGCAGAGTGAATCACATCAACGTTACTTTACTGTTGATTTTTATGGGTTTTTTCCAGACATCTTCTGACCTCTGCACTGTTTTAGGTCTCATTTTTACCTGTAATGTTCTTTTTATTCATATATGCAGAGCATTGTTTGAGCAGCCTGAGATCTAACAATGATTTCTCTGATGTGAAGATGACATTAAAAAACTTTAAACTTAATTTATCATGTCTGTAAAGTGTCAGACATTCTTGAAACTTCAAGTGGCGTCGTCATGTCTTGTATTCTCCGATCAACAGTCCCAAACAGGAAGAGATTCAGGTTCATGTGATATAAAACAGATTGTTGGCACAGTTTTGCCTTTAAAATGAATCGTTTTGCTCTTTATGAGTTGAGTTGTAAAATCAAGGTGAAGAGCAGCTCAGTGAGGACGTCCCACTCTGTGAGGACAGTGACCTGGGCGCCTCAGACTGGAACCAGTTTGGAACCAGTTAGTTGGTCCCAGTCAGATAATAAACTGAAACCTGGAGGAAGAAAACGACGCTCAGTTACTGAGGAAACAAACTGTTTGCTTCATGTTTGTGATTGTTGACTTGTCACTTTCTCCTCCTCCTCCTCCTCCTCCTCCTCCTCCTCCTCCTCCTCCTCCCCTCAGCTCCGAGTACGAGGAGATCACCATTGACCCAGTGTGCAGCTGGAAGCCGGTTCCTGTGAAGCCCGACATCCACGTGAAGGAGGAGTCAGACGGCCCCGTGTTGAAGCGCTGCCGGACGCTCAGCCCGAGTCACATGGTCCTGCCCAGCGTCATGGAGATGATCGCATCATTAGGCCCCGCCCCCACCTCGGCCACCACCTCCTCCTCCTCCCCAATGCCCTACCCTCCCGTACCTGCAGGGGGCAGCAATAACAGCAACACACCGGACTACCCCGGCCCAGGTACGCAGGGTGGAGGGAGCCACAGCCATTAAAGTTTACACTTTATATCTGATAGAAGAAGACATGAGGTCACACACTGTTTGTCTGACATGTTTTTATACATTGTGTTTTATTCAGTGTGTTTTATTCAGTGTGTTTTATTCAGTGTGTTTTATTCAGTGTTCATCTGAGAATGATTTTATAAATCTGCAGCGCTGAAGCAGAAAAACATCTGTTGGTCAAATAGATAAAAACACAGAACACATAAAGTGATAAAAAGACGAAAAGTTAATGAAACACAAATAAATAAAGGTTGTAACGTCTTTTATTATTATTATTATTATTATTAACAAATTTAAAATGTCTCTTTGATAATAATTTATCTTGATACTTTATCAGTGTGTCGTTGTTGTTATTTGCTGGTGTTCAGGTTGTTTCCTGTCACAGTGTTTAATGGATTTAAAGAAAGACTTTACAGGAACGTAAACAACAACAACAACAACAACAAGTCGTCCGTCCATTACTCTCCACTGAATGATTGATTATCGGGCGTGTCCATCAGTAATCAGTGAGGTCATCTTCCTGTTGACGGAGGAGCTGATGAATCTTTAATGAGCTCATGTCTCTGTTGAAGGTTCAAATAATCTTTATTGATACAAACCATCGATCGATCAGGATCAAACTCTGAATGGATCAATCAGAGGACTGATGACTGTATCTGATCAGGTGTATTGATCCGTGTGTCCTCAGCTCCGTCCTACCCCAGCAGTCAGTCTGCAGGCTTCTCAGACTTCAGTGGTCCTGGTACTCCTGGTGTGGGGGGGGACTTCTCCTCCCCCCGGCCCCCCCCCCCCCCCCCCCCTTCCCGAGCTCTCCAGCGCCCTCCTCACCCCCGACAAACCCCCGCCTCACCCGCTGGCTGGACAGGTACAGTGACATCATCACCTTCATCTTCATCATCGTCATGTTTTATTGGTTCAGAACAGAAGGTTCACCAGTTCTCCTCCTCTACCTCCTTTCTGTTCGTTCTGTCTTTCCTTGTCTCCTCTCCTTCCTCTTCCCTTCCTCTCCACTCTCCCTCCTTTCCATCCTCCTCCTCCTCTTTTCTTTCTCTCATTTCCCTCCTTTCCTATTTCCCTTTGTCCTTCCTCTCCTCTTTACTTTCTTCCTTCCTTCCTCTCCTCCTTTCCTTCTCTCTTCTTCTTCCCTCCACTCCTACCTTCCTACCTCTCCTCTCCAATTTTCTTCCTCTCTTCCCTTTCTTCTTCTTTCTCTCCTCCTTTCCTTCCCTCCTCTCCTCTTTCTTTCTGTCCTCTCCTCCTTCCTTTGTTCCTTCCACTCCTCCTTCCTTCCTCTGATCCTTTCCTTCTGACCTTCCTCTCCTCTCCTCCTTCCTTCCTGCTCTCTTTTTCTTGCTTCCTCTTCAATATCCTTCTTCTCTTCCCTTTTGTCCCTCCTCTTCTTTTTAACTTCATCTCTCTCCTCCTTCCTTTCTTTCCTTCCTTTGTCCCTTCACTCCTCTTTCCTTCCTTCCATCCTCCCTCTCCTACCTTCCTTCTGACCTTCCTTTCCTTCCTTCCGTCCTCTCTCCTCTCTCAGATGTCAGTCTCGGGCCGTCTGGACTCCACTTCCCATGGTGCTCCTCTCTCCCAGCAGCAGTCGCAGGGTCTCCACGGCAACTCCCAAATGGGGAGCGGCAACCAGATGATGCAGCGTAGCAACCAGAATCCCCGTCTCCAAGGCGACAGCTCCTTCACTCTCGGGGGGTCGTCGGAGGTTCCTGAACCTTCTCTGGACGTGAGTACAAACCAGTAATTAGACCTCACGTTACACTGCTGCATCATGGGTAATTTGAGTTTGACTGGTGTTTTAAACTGGTTCCACTGGTTCTGTGTCTCCATCGTCTCTTCTCTGTGTGTTGCTGCAGTTGCTCCCGGAGTTGACCAACCCGGACGAGTTGCTGTCGTACCTCGGACCTCCGGACCTCCCAAACAACAACAACGACGACCTGCTGTCGCTGTTTGAGAACAACTGAACACACACACACACACACACATATACACACACACACACACATATACACACATACACACACACAGAACTTTACTGTAACATACAAACTCTTTCTCTCCTCGCCCGCCAACACGAGTGGCGGTCCAACATGGCCGCCGCCGTCTGCACAGGATGGAGTGGACGATATGAAAAAAAAATCATCTTTTAAATATGAAAACTCTTTGATGTGTGACGATGATGATGGTAACTTTATTTTATTGTTTTTTATATTTTAAACTGTATTTTGATGCTTCATCCTTCATTCCCTGTTGGAGCCGACGGCCGCGCTGCTCACAGGAAGCTGCAGGCGATTTAAAGATGGCGACGACCACGCGGCTGCCGTGACGACAGCTGACTGTGACGTGTGGTCGATTAAATCCAGAATGTTTCTGGTCCAAATGAGTTTGAAACGACGAGCTTTAAGGAGCGTCTGTTCTCACAGACAGGATGTGAAGGTTAACGCCGTTTACACTCAGCCACGGCGCCTCAGGGAGCATCAGCGCTCCTCCTGTGATGAGTTTATTTCCCAGGATTCAAAGTTTTAAACAGAACTGCAGATGATTCATCAGAAGGTGACATTTTGCTCTGATCCTCTGATGTTGTTCACGCGTGAGGTCACATGGTCACAGTCGGTCCCTCCAGGAGGTCGTGATCACAGTTTCAGCCAATCGCTGTGAATTCTGAGCGACTTAATTTTGTCCGATCACCGGAACTCAACTGCAGATTTGACTCTTTAAAACAGGTCAAATCTGATTTTATTGCAGAGCTGCGTGCAGCGTATTGATTCACTCAGCCCGTCAGTGACAGAGCTAACTGTTAGCATCACAAAGCTAACATTACCACACAGTTATTAACGTGTTTAAAGACAGAGTCGAGCTTGACCTCACAATTTTTAGTGCAAAACACGCCCATAAACATCACAACATCCCAGCTGCCACCAGACATCAATATAAAATTAGAGAGGCGTTGGACTCTAACGTCGCACAGATCTTGAAAACGTTCATATTTCACGTTGCGTGGATGTTAACAATATGATGTTTTGTTCTCAGCACCTCAGCATCTCAGTTATTCTACGCCTGGACATCGTCGGCAGGAGACGTTTGGAAGACGTTGGATTTTGGTTACATAACAAGACCTGAAACCAACGAAATATCAACGTCATCTGCTGTTAGTATTCTATGTCAAACTGATGTTGGAAGCAGACGTCATCCTGACCTTGAACTTTGGTCACGTGACGTAACAACCTAAATTTAACCAAATATCAGCATCTGATGGCGGCAGTGCGGATGCTTCACAATTTTTATTTTGTTTTAGAAAAGCTGACAAATGAGACAGGCCGCAACAATCCTAAAAACAGCTCACAGAATCCTGGAGGGACCGAAGTATATGTTAGTAGAACAATAGTTCATCTGTTTTAAATCATCTGATCAGTTTCAGGACGTCTGATTGGTTCAGTCACAGCGTCAGGAAGGAAATCATCACGTTTCAGTGTTTCTAGATCTTGTGTTCACTCTAAAACTAAAATGTTCGGACTGCTGACAGAAAAATAACCAGCAACTATTTAGCCTCTGAAATTAAACAAAGTTTCCCAGAGTTCACTGTGACTTGTTCAGAAGTCTCGTTCTGTCCGAGCGACGGTCCAAAACTCAAAGTGACTAAACAGAAAATCTGAGACGTTGAAATCAGAAAATGTTGATTTGTCTTTTCACTGTTTTTGATTAAAAAAAAAGGAGTTCAGTGTTTCACCTCAGTGTCGTCCACGTTACTGTCAAACTGCTCTCACCACACTCCTGATGAAGAAGAGGTTTTCTCCTTGGAATATTTTGTTAGGAAGTTTGTTTAAGTTCACATCTCAGAGTTTCTGTCTCTTTGGCTGCTCCTTCAGTGAGCAGCTCATGGTGCGTTTCTGAATGTCACTTCCCAGATATCCAAACAGTGTCACTCGTGTGACGTCAGTTTGTACGAGTTTTTGAAGTTTCATCTGCAGTTGTCGCTCTTTTCTGTGTTTGTTCGACCACAGTAACCATCGACTTGCAGCAGAGAACCCTGACGTTGCCAACTGTCATCGTGTAACAAGAAAAGCTTCTCGTACAGTGTTGAAAGATTCTCAGACATCCAGGTCAGGGAAGTTCTCAGTGCTTCATCATAGGCAGCCGGACGTGTTTGAGTTTCTTGAAGACGTTTTATCTCTGAGCCATGAGATGGTTGAGAGGTGAAACCTACGATACAGCATTCAGAACTCCTCATGCAGACTCACCCTGCCGCCGTCCCTCCCTGCAGAGCAGCAGGCCGACATGTTTAGACGCAGCGTGTTAAAACCAAGACAGATCCGATCAGACGTGACCAGACGGACGACGAATCACAGTGAAATCTGAGTATGTGAGTCGGTACAAGACGAGCTGCTCTGACGCTTTGATGAACACGATGTGAACGATGTTACCGTCACGCTCACACACAACTCACAAAGGAACATCAGGACGTTCCTTTAAAGTCGCTGAGTGTGTTCTCACGCGTGTACCAACACCCTGCTGTGATCAGTTTCATCTCTGACACAAACTGATCCTGCGCCTCGTGAACACCTGATCCAGGTTTCTGATCTTTCATTCATTTACAATGACGACATTAATCAGCGTCACTGTGAGCGTGCCTGTGTTCACCAGCTGAGGTGAGACGCTCTGACACACGAGCACAGTCCATCCTCTGTTCATGAGGCCGTGCAGACATGAAGCGTCAGACAGAGCAGCAGGAAGACGTCAGCAGTCACGACGGATCTTTGTAAATGCTAAAAGAAGCAGTGAGACGTCAGTGAATCAGAGATTTGAGACGACAAACACGAGCTCAGAGCTGCTGGATCAGAAACCTGGATCCTGTCACATGATCCTGACGATCACAGAGACGTGAAGACGTACGTTTCCTCATGTTTCATTGAAACATCACGTCCTGAATGTGATCACACACACACACCACACTACAGGTGCAGTCTGAAGGTTCACAGCTTGGATCTGATCAGTTTGATCTGTGACAGGTTGTCTGTTCACAGATTAACATTTCCAACATGGCCGCTGTCAGAGGATCTGTACAAACGGTCGCCAGCCGGTTTTAATGTCACTGCTCACAGAGTGAGGCCGGACGCTCGCAGAGGAACAACTTACTGAGGAGTTTATTTGTAGAACAGCAGATTTAAAATGTTTCACACACGAGACACAAAGACGTTAAAACAAAGTTTAAATCTCTATAAAAAGACAGAAATAAACTTTAAACAAAGTCAGAGAGAAACGAACATGTTGAGTTTCACTGAACGTGTGGCTGAGTGTAAACGCACCGCGAATCAAAGCACATCTGGATTTTATCAAAGCTACGGAGGCTCGTTTGTGCCAAAGTGATGGAAACACAGATCCTGTTGGTCACTGTGATGAGAAACCTTCTAAAGATAATGAGTTACTAACTCAAAAAATACTACTATACTATATATGCATCTCATAATAAGAAACTTTATCAACATAATTACATATTTAAAAATAAAGACTTGTCTAGAAATAATGAGTCAGTAAAATTACTCAAAGTAAGTTTTCTCAAATGAATGAAAAACGTCCTTAAAATAATGATTTAGTTTCTTATTTTGAGATATTTTCTCAAGATAATCAGAAACTTTCTCAAAGTTATGAAGAATTTTTTTTTGATAATAAGTATCCAAAAATTATGAGTTTTTGTCATCATAATAAGTTGGTGTCTAAAATGATTTAGTGTCTCAAAATAACAAAGTTTCTCAAATTAATGAGAAACTTTCCTAAAATATAGATGTAGTTTATTATTTTGAATTCTTTTTTGCAAGACAAATAGAAACTTTCTCAAAATAATGGGGACGTTTGTTTTTTTTTGTGATAATGAATTATTATCTCTGAAACAAAGCTCTTAAAATAAAAATGTTAGGATCTTTATTTAAAGATATGAACTCATTATTTTGACAAAGTTTCTCGTTATGATGATAAACAGGATTTTTGTTGTTTGAATGGGCCTCTGTACATTTGAGACACCTGATGTGAAGGTCACTCGACACATGACAGACGTGTTTGTAATGTTATGAGACTTTAATGTTAAACTCTGGAGCTTTGGACGGTCGCCGCCATCGTCATCGTCTGCATTCGAGCCCTCAGTGAGGTTTAACTCAGTGCCACAGATGACGATGACGACGACCGACTCCAGGGAGCTGCGACATGAAGAACAGGAGAAGAAGACGTGTGCTGACATCACAGAGCTCCATCGACACCAGTTTGTACATGTGATAATTACAGAGGGTTCATCTTCATCCTCGTCATCCTCCTCATTACTCTGTATGTTGTAAAGTGACTAGAGTCCAGACAGTCGTGGTGTCTCCGTGTCCCGGTGAGTCTGCTGGCATCAATAAATCTGTACATGATCACACTGTGTCAATCAGTAATGATGCTAATAACAACAACAACAACAACAACAATAATAATAATAATAATAATAATAATAATAACCTTTGTAATTTAATAAACACACACTGGAAAGACACAGCGCACAACCTGTCATGATTTTACACACACACACACACACACACACACACACACACACACACACACACAGTTAATGATGTATGAAGTGTTGGGTGTGACGGTGAGAGTGACAGGCTGGAGGAGGAAACATGAAGAATAATCAACACTAAATATCAGTTATTGATGTTTAGTTCTGACAACTTAATGACATCATCAGACATTCATGTAGATCATCAATAATGCACTGATGACCTGTGGAGCCTGGCTCTGAGATGATGATCTCAGGTCTGACTCTAGAGGCGACTGCTGCAACACCCTGAAATGAAGCTCTAACTTAACTCAATCAGCCTCTTGAGATGACACGTCGCACAATGAAACACGCTCCTCAACAATGTAGAAACATCACAAGTGACAGTTCCTCCGGTGATGTTAAAAACTGGATTCTGGGCCTCAGACGGCGATGGGGGTCGGCGACGTGCAGCTACAGAGCAGCATGCAGCTCTTCAGACCCTCTCCATGGGTCTCCCTGTGGCTCTGACAGAAAATGATACGGAAATGTTTAACAGTTATTTTTTAACATTCACATTTTCCTGTGTCACTGCTGGAGGCCTGAAGTGATGACTGCATTATACACCTGTGTGCAGCCTGAACATCGAGCTAAACAAAGCTGTAACGTTTCATCGACTAAATTGTGCGTCTACGTTTGTATGTGTCTGAGCTTAAGTAGCGGCGTCTGTGTGGCGTCGCTCCAGCTCAGCTCGCTGTAGATCACACATCCAAAAAGGAAAAGTCTTGTAGGATTTATTAGTGAGTGGACAGATTCATCAGCTGTCACCACCAACACTGTGAAGTTATAGCAGTAAATAATCATAAATAACTCTCTGCAGAGGAGCCGCCTCGCAGGTCAAGTCATGTTAATGAATGCTCCTATAGACCTGCTCATAATGATGGTGGGCTGTCTAATCTTTACTCAGGTGTTTCATGGCTCCAGACAATTTTTTGGCCAACACTGGCTCCTTTAAAGTAAACATTGCTGAGCCCTGGCCTGGCATTTTCCACTTGGTAATCAGTCTGATATTCAAGGGATAGTGCACCCAAAAATGTAAATTCAGCCATTATCTACTCACCCATATGTCGAGGGAGGCTCAGGTGAAGTTTTAGAGTCCTCACATCACTTGCAGAGATCCAAGGGGAGAGGAGGTAGCAACACAACTCCACCTAATGGAGGCTGACGGCGCCCCAGATTCAAACGTCCAAAAACACATCATTGAAACCACAAAATATCTCCATACTGCTCGTCCGTAGTGATCCAAGTGTCCTGAAGCCCCGACATAAAAAGTTGTTTGGAATAACCTCATTTGAACTCTGTTTTTAGCCTCATTGTAGCCTGTAGCTCTGACTGCCTCTCTGGGCACCGAGCTTTTCCATCGACTGACTGTGGACAAAAGACTCATACAACTCCACTGCAAAACATCTGAACTGTCCCTTTAATCTGGGTTCACCCTACAGCAGTGGTTACCATGGTGATCTGACCAGGCAGCTACAATATGATCCAGTAAAGACGAAGAAGAAGAAGGAGAAGAAGAAGAAGAAGAAGACTACAAACACAGTCTGACAGCTGATTGGTTCACTGGTGCACCTCAGAGTTTCACACTGAACTTACACAGTGGTGGAAAGTAACTAAATACATTTACTCAAGTACAAATCTGAGGTCTCTGAGTATAGTTACACTTCTGCTGCTCGACTTTTACCTGACAGCTTTAGTGACATCACAGACTCAGACTGTAGCCGTGTTTCCATCAGCCTGTTTATATGCACATCTAGAAGTATCGCATCGGAAAATTATGATGGAAACCCCAAAAATCAAATTCAAATCCCCTGATTCGCACAAACTAAAATACACTCGCTTTAGCCGGGTTTTGGTTGATTCGAAAAAATGTTGATTCACAAAACGGGGGATGGAAACAGTTATGTTCGAATTAAGTCTGACGTAGCGCACCTCTCTCCATGGTGATATCCACACTCCAGGTCGGGAAGGTGATAATGCATTTACAAGCTGGTTGCCAGCACCAGAAAACGTAGAAGAAGAAGAATGCGGGACTTGTTTTGTTTCCGGTTCTGCGGAAAACTCACGCGAGTTCATAGTTTTCACCAAAGTCCGTACATTTAATGGAAACACACAGGATTCATATTTCTTTTAATGCACATTTCCCAATGATTCCAATCACTTTTGGATGGAAACACAGCTAGTGACTTTATTGTGACTTTATTGTGACTTTACTGAGACTTTATTGTGACTCTACTGAAACTTTACTGAGACTTTATTGTGACTTTACTGAGACTTTACTGAGACTATATTGTGACTTTACTGAGACTTTATTGTGACTTTACTGAGACTTTATTGTGACTCTACTGAAACTTTACTGAGACTTTATTGTGACTTTACTGAGACTTTGCTGAGACTATATTGTGACTACTGAGACTTTATTGTGACTCTACTGAGACTTTACTGAGACTTTATTGTGACTCTACTGAGACTTTACTGAGACTTTATTGTGACTTTACTGAGACTTTACTGAGACTATATTGTGACTACTGAGACTTTATTGTGACTCTACTGAGACTTTACTGAGACTTTATTGTGACTTTATTGAGACTTTACTGAGACTTTATTGTGACTCTACTGAGACTTTACTGAGACTTTATTGTGACTTTACTGAGACTTTACTGAGACTATATTGTGACTTTACTGAGACTTTACTGAGACTTTATTGTGACTTTACTGAGACTTTATTGTGACTCTACTGAAACTTTACTGAGACTTTATTGTGACTTTACTGAGACTTTACTGAGACTATATTGTGACTATTGAGACTTTATTGTGACTCTACTGAGACTTTACTGAGACTTTATTGTGACTTTACTGAGACTTTACTGAGACTTTATTGTGACTTTACTGAGACTTTACTGAGACTTTATTGTGACTTTACTGAGACTTTATTGTGACTCTACTGAAACTTTACTGAGACTTTATTGTGACTTTACTGAGACTTTACTGAGACTATATTGTGACTATTGAGACTTTATTGTGACTCTACTGAGACTTTACTGAGACTTTATTGTGACTTTACTGAGACTTTACTGAGACTTTATTGTGACTTTACTGAGACTTTACTGAGACTTTATTGTGACTTTACTGAGACTTTATTGTGACTCTACTGAAACTTTACTGAGACTTTATTGTGACTTTACTGAGACTTTACTGAGACTATATTGTGACTATTGAGACTTTATTGTGACTCTACTGAGACTTTACTGAGACTTTATTGTGACTTTACTGAGACTTTACTGAGACTTTATTGTGACTTTACTGAGACTTTACTGAGACTTTATTGTGACTTTACTGAGACTTTATTGTGACTCTACTGAAACTTTACTGAGACTTTATTGTGACTTTACTGAGACTTTACTGAGACTATATTGTGACTATTGAGACTTTATTGTGACTCTACTGAGACTTTACTGAGACTTTATTGTGACTTTACTGAGACTTTACTGAGACTTTATTGTGACTTTACTGAGACTTTACTGAGACTTTATTGTGACTTTACTGAGACTTTACTGAGACTTTATTGTGACTTTACTGAGACTTTACTGAGACTTTATTGTGACTTTACTGAGACTTTACTGAGACTTTATTGTGACTTTACTGAGACTTTACTGAGACTTTATTGTGACTTTACTGAGACTTTACTGAGACTTTATTGTGACTTTACTGAGACTTTACTGAGACTTTATTGTGACTTTACTGAGACTTTACTGAGACTTTATTGTGACTTTACTGAGACTTTACTGAGACTTTATTGTGACTTTACTGAGACTTTACTGAGACTTTATTGTGACTTTACTGAGACTTTACTGAGACTATATTGTGACTTCTGAGACTTTATTGTGACTCTACTGAGACTTTACTGAGACTTTATTGTGACTTTATTGTGACTACTGAGACTTTATTGTGACTCTACTGAGACTTTACTGAGACTTTATTGTGACTTTACTGAGACTTTATTGTGACTTAATTGTGACTTAATTGTGACTCTACTGAGACTTTATTGTGACTTTATTGTGACTCTATTGAGACTTTATTGTGACTCTACTGAGACTTTACTGAGACTTTATTGTGACTTAATTGTGACTCTACTGAGACTTTATTGTGACTTTATTGTGACTCTATTGAGACTTTATTGTGACTCTACTGAGACTTTACTGAGACTTTATCGTGACTCTACTGAGACTTTATTGTGACTTTACTGAGACTTTATTGTGACTTTATTGTGACTCTATTGAGACTTTATTGTGACTCTACTGAGACTTTACTGAGACTTTATTGTGACTTTACTGAGACTTTATTGTGACTTTATTGTGACTCTACTGAGACTTTATTGTGACTCTGCTGAGACTTTACTGAGACTTTATTGTGACTCTACTGAGACTTTACTGAGACTTTATTGTGACTCTACTGAGACTTTACTGAGACTTTACTGTGACTTTATTGTGACTTCGTTGTGACTTTACTGAGACTTTATTGTGACTCTACTGAGACTTTACTGAGACTTTACTCTGACTTTATTGTGACTTCATTGTGACTTTACTGAGACTTTATTGTGACTTTACTGAGACTTTATTGTGACTACTGAGATTTTACTGAGACTTTATTGTGACTTAATTGTGACTCTACTGAGACTTTATTGTGACTCTACTGAGACTTTACTGAGACTTTATTGTGACTTTATTGTGACTCTACTGAGACTTTATTGTGACTCTGCTGAGACTTTACTGAGACTTTATTGTGACTTTACTGAGACTTTATTGTGACTCTACTGAGACTTTACTGAGACTTTATTGTGACTCTACTGAGACTTTATTGTGACTCTGCTGAGACTTTACTGAGACTTTATTGTGACTTTATTGTGAGTCTTCTGAGACTTTACTGAGACTTTATTGTGACTCCACTGAGACTTTTTTGTGACTTTACTGTGACTCTACTGAGCTCTTTGGGACAGAAACAAACTTGTCACATGAACTTTGTGTGTTAACTTTGTTCTTCATGTGGAGAACCGGACGGACCGCGCCCTGACCGCGTGACCGCGCTCTCACATTTTCCCCCTGACAGCGGGAGCGCGCGCTGACTGCGGGACTTTTATTACGTTCACTCCTCCGCGTGCGCTGCACGTATTGGACGCCTGGGTCGTCAATGATCGGTGGCGCGCGCTGCTCTGCTACTCGTGAGCTCACGCTTTTCGTACGGGGACAAAGACGCGGGGGCGGTGTCACCTGCCTCGCGCTTTCTGAGAAAACCTGAACTGGTACAGCGGTCTGCTCTGGTGACTGAATCAAACACACCGTGAAATGTCTCCGTCCATTCAGAGACCAGTCAAAACGGAGGGTCCGCTATTCTGGCGGCTGATTGGCCAAACTGGCTGCCAGTCAAACACTCCAGCGTTCCCCATTGGCTCGCTGTGTTTCCACACTGCCCACCGGCATGTTATATAAAATTAATCCACATACCTCCATCTTTTTCGGATCCTTGTGGCCGCTCGAGTCCTCTCGCCGGGAAACCCGTTCAGTCCACTCTCTGCACTTCAGCCCGCTGAAATGGCTAATACCAGAGTCTTCTTCGACATCTCCTCTGACGGTACTCCAATTGGCCGGGTGGTGATGGAGGTACGGTAACGTTACCGCCGGGAGTATTCACCGTTACACACGCTGCCTGGTGTTCGCTCCGTTAATTCGTCTCCGCCGGGATTCATCTGCCCCGCTGCTTTTTATCTATCTGTCCGTTAAGTCACTTTGTGCCGCAGAAAATAAAACCCGATCTCGGCTCAGCACCGTTTAGAGGTAGCATGCACGAGCTAGCTGTAACGGAACTATCATGAACACAATTGTCTTGAAGGGACCATGTGCACGTGTGTGTGGCTTCGAGCCAGCGCATCTAACGGGACCGCATAGCGGAATTTTATGCCCCGGTGCAGGTGTTGTAACTGCGGAGGACGGGCTCTGTAATTAAACTGTAATTAATGTGTTTTTCACGAACTGCCACGTGATGTTAACGAGCTCTAATATGATTATCTGGGCACTTTTATATGTAATAATCCGAATTTAATGACAGCCAATCACCCATCGCCTCTCACACTGAAGAGGAGCAGAGCTTAACTGCTAATTAACGTTAGCTGTCGTCACGCTGAGGCCCACAGAAGGCCCGCGGCCCATGTGTGAGCCGTGGAGGGGGCACGCTGCCCGGACAGGAGTTTGACCACAGCTAGCTAACGGTCTCTGCTAATGCTAACGGGTTTAGCTAATGCTAAGTTAGCCGCGCTGTTCTTTGTTGCAGCGTTTTACGGTCTCGTCACAAGCCCGGGAAATCCCCGCTGCTGTCAGTGAAAACCACATCCACCCTCAGGCTGTGGTTTTATTCAGTCTCTTTACAGTAATGGCGCTGCGGTGCTCTGGATGAAGTTTAATGAAAAGAAAGTAATAATAATGAGACAAAATGTACTGCCTGCGGCGGTTAGCGTGTTAGCCGCCGAAGCTAACTGCGCCGGTTTCCATTGTAGTGGACGGAGGAGCGGTTCTGGAAAGTTCCACAACGGGGGAGGGGGGGGGGGGGCTATCTGCATGATAAAAAATGCGGGTGCAGAGAGATGGCCGCAGACACTGCCTTATAGTTCAGTTCCTTCGTGCCCACATTGAGTGGTAATAACATTACATTACACAAAATTAGGATGATCGTGGCGCCATTGTCTCACACACTATTTATACCCGCTCATGTTTTTTACGGCAGGCTAAAAGCTGCTAACACGTCCAGCCATTTTGTGCACGTAGCTGTGCCCCGTTATGGGCGTTCCCGATATATATCAACATTTGAACCCGAAGACCTCCAGATTAAATGGTGCACAGATCCAAATCTGCAGTCCTCAGGACAAATGGAAAAGATTATTTATTTATTTTTTGGCCATGTATGCGTGTAAATAACTGAAGCTAACGGTTCTCACATTAAATAGGGTCATGACTTTGTTCCCAGGGTCCTGTGTTAATGATATAAATGAACTTTGTAAGAGACTGGTTATAATGGAGATAGATTTGTGTTAATATTGTTTGTGTGAAATGATAGGAAATCTGCATGTAAATGTGTAATCTATAAACAAACACTTTCCAGTTACAAAGATTTGTGAAGCTGCAAATTCAGGATTTAAAAAATGTGAATGGACTTGTTTTACAAATAAATGAAAAACATTGTCTTTCTCACGTTTACAACATTCATAAATCGCAGTTCTACACTTGTCAATTTGCATCATATGCACTCTGAGTTTTTTTTTTTTTTTTTTTACTTTATTTTTGGAGTTTATGTTTGCAGCTAGATTTGTGTCAAAACAATTTGTATGAACAGATCAGTAATCTGTAAATATATAACACCTTTCACAATTACAAAAAGAGCCGCAAATACACAAATTACAAAATTAAAAAAAATTCAATTCTACACATTCTTTTTTGAGTTTGTGTATTTGCAGCAGCATCTTATTTTTGCAATATATTGTTGTGAGTTTATAAATCTTTTTTTCTGTATCTGTGGAAGGTGTTTAATATCACCATATGTCTTTGCAGTTTAAATTTCAAATGAATGAATGGAGCTGGACTTGGCCACTGCAGTTTGAATAGTAAATCTCCATTCAGCTGCTGTGAGATATCAGTGTCCAAAGGAGGGAGGAAACTGTCCTGCCTGCAGATTTGAGGGCACAGGTTTAAGAAGTGTAACAGCTGTTAGGTTTTAAGCATTAGATGGATGATTTAAACATATTTACCCATCGCTGAGAAAACCATTTGAAAAGTCTTGGTAACATGTCATATTAATCTGGGGAACATAGGACCTTGGGAACACATATGTTCCCGTCTTAAATTATGAATATCTGGTTTCTGTTACTGCTGAGCAGGTGGAAGGCTGCACAGAGCTGCTCTGAGATCAGCTGCAGCTCTCGCTTGTCTGCTGCTGCTGCAGCCTCCCCGTCCCTCCTCCTCCTCCGAACATACTTGCATGGTAGCGTCACTGCTGTGCAGGGCATGCAGATATCTCAGTGTGGTGCAATGCTGCATTCCTGTTTCACCATGACACAGCACAATTACCACACACTAATCACATAATAACCTGATCCATGTGTGACGGGCGAGAGCAGCTGCCCTCAGGCTACACAAAGTGCTCCTGAGATTTATTTAACTCCTTATGTTGACTTTAAATGTCAAGTAGAGTTCAGTATCTGTTGAAGCCTGTATGGAGCTAAATTTAGCTTAAATCTGCAGATGTTTTAAAATTTATTCAGATTGTGAGACGCTCCGTTTACCTCCTTACAGCTGGACTCTAAACCACGACGTGCTGATTTCTCCTGTGTAGATGGAGTTACACAATGTCTTGCTTCACAGAACAAAGTGCACAGTATCTGGTGACCTGCCTTTGGTTTTGGCTCTGTGCCTGGATGGCAACGAGCCAGATGTTACTTCACTGACTTTTACCCCCTCTTAATTTTTTATCACAGTATTAGAAACGAACACTTGACTTAACTCCCTGTTTGCTCGTAACAACTCACTGACTTTGAGTGTGTTCATTTTGTGCTCTGCAGCTCCGTAACGACGTGGTGCCCAAGACCGCTGAAAACTTCCGCGCCCTCTGCACCGGCGAGAAGGGCTTTGGCTACAAGGGCTCCATCTTCCACCGCATCATCCCCGGGTTCATGTGTCAGGTAACGTAGCCTGTGTTGGGTTTTTCTTTTTCTTGCACAGTGGTGCCTTCTCTCGGACAGTTTGCTCCGTGTGGGTGTTAAATTGTTGTTTGTTTAACACGCAGGGCGGAGACTTCACCAACCATAACGGAACTGGTGGAAAGTCTATCTACGGCAACAAGTTTGCTGATGAGGACTTCACCCTGAAGCACACTGGTCCAGGTATCCTGTCCATGGCCAACGCCGGCCCAAACACGAACGGATCCCAGTTCTTCATCTGCACAGCCAAAACAACATGGTAAGATCTCTCTCACACACACACACACACACACACACACACACACACACACACACAGGTCTGTTTCCAGCTTTTTATTTCTGTTTGTCAAAATGAGTTGAGCTCTCCTGCATAAAAATCCACATTTCTGATGTTACAAATCTTTAAACCACTGAACCTAATAGACCCTTTAGGGCCGACATCACGTTGACATCATGTTATCATCTGGAGGTGCAGCTGCCTCTCCCCCACAGGGCTGTAGGCTCCATAGTAGTGTTAAAATGTGTTTGTCTTGTTGTGTTATTGGGAGCCAGAATAGAAGGAGTCATGGCTCAAAACCAGCCGCCACTGCCCGTCAACAAAAACAAAGACAACTATGGTTAAATGTGATAAGACCAAAGGACTGGACGGAGGCCATCATCAAAAATGCTCACATGTGCAGCGCACACTTCATATCAGGTTAGGGAAAAAGTATTTCCTGTTGTAGGGATGAATAAGGTTATGTGTATTAAGGGTTATCATGTCCACCTCATCAGAAACTGGGGAGGGATTAAGAGGAAGATTGGATTTCTCTGCAACGCTAACTTTTTAGCACATTAGCTAACGTTAGCTTCCATAGTAAAACAAACAAGTGTGGTCCTCCTTTGTAAGATTGGCTTCCTGTGACATCATCCATCCACTGAGTGAGAGCATACGGGTCGGCCAGTCTGGTCCCGTTGGTCAGTGTTTACAGCTAGCAGAGATTTGCTCTGCTCATATTTCAGCCAGGATAAATCACACACAGTGTGTGGAGGCTTTATTGTCTTCACAATTTATTGTTTCTTATCTGTGAAATTAAAGTAAATCAAAGCTTTGTTTCCACTGAGGGAAATGGTTTCAGCTTACAGAGACAGACAGGAGGTCTGCGTCACTGTGACGTGGAGTCAGTCTCTGGGGAGGTGCACGTCAGACAGTGGTGTAGGTTCTACGTCGATGTAGAGCCTACACCACTGGTACAGTGTCAGTTCGACACAGAAGTATAAATCCTGCATTACTTTTATATCTACAGGAAGACCTGGACACAGCCACAGGGTGGTAATTGAGTTTTTCTCTGAGCGCAGCGTGGCCCTCCTGAAGTATAGTTTGCTGGAGTCCACCTGAATCCTCAGCATGTTTGTGTGTCGGGCTGCTGGTTGTTAATGTTGATGATGCGTCTCTCCGCAGGCTCGACGGGAAGCACGTGGTGTTCGGGTCCGTGGTCGAGGGGATGGACGTGGTCAAGAAGATGGAGTCTGTCGGTTCCCAGAGCGGCAAAACCTCAACCAAGATCGCCATTGCCGACTGTGGGCAGCTCTGAGCTCCAGCACTTAACCCTTTCTGCTCGTCCTGTAGCCACACCCCTGTAGGTTCCTCCCCCCCCCCCTCCTCCACCTCTGCCATTCAACATTCCTATTGATGGAGATTCAACTGCCCGCTCCCCGCCCCCTCTCCCGCCCCGTCCCTCGCTCCTCGTCCCTCATTTTTTTTATTCTGTTGTTGAAATCATGTTGCTGCATTTGTGACTTTGAAAGTTTCTTTTGCATTAACGTTTTTTTCCACACATCCCAACGGTTTTTTTGTTAAGTCAAAAAAAATGAAGAATAAAACAAAAGTTGCCTTGACAATTTAAACGTGTGTTTTCTCTTTTTGATTTTAACCGAGGGTTTTCTCTAAGATCGTCTCAAATCTGTGTGAATATGATATTTAATATTTATCACCTGATCATCATCACGTCCTCATGATTAAAGTCAGGATCAGAAAGTGAAGTGAAACATGACTCAAAGTGACTATTAAATGAATAAATATTTAGAATAAATGTTGAAATAAATGAGGTAAGGATATATACATGAATAAATAAGTTATTTTTGTGTCTGGATGTTTGAACACGGTCAGACACATTTAAATAAAAACATTCTGGTGTCGTCACACTGACACAAACAATAACACAAAACACTGGAGTAGTAAAATAAATGAATATAAAACATTTTTAAAAATCTAAAAAACATAAGAAATATATAATTCATTTTAGAAATCCATTGTTTTTTTTTTTCAAGTTGTTTTTCCAAAGACTTCTGACTGATTCTCACATTAAATGGGGTTAAAAAAAAAAAAAAAAGAGACAAATGCAACTATTTTTATATTTTAATGAACAATTACGACGCGATGCCTGTCTGCAAACTGTATGATAGTCCTATATGTGAGGTGAAGGGTAAATCTTGCCCGATTAAGCACTATTGTGTAAAGGGCGAGGTGACGTCAGCTCGGTCACATAAACACAGTAAACCTGCTCATCAGATCAAAATCATCCACAGAGGACACACCTGAGAGGACATGTCCACACTGTCCAGATGACGTCATCTGCAATGAGCCTGCAGGTGTTTAAAGTGTCCAGCAGAGGGAGCTCTTCAGCTGCGCAGTGTTCAGGTCAACAGACATTTAACCAACAAAGATGTTGGAAGATAAAATATATTTGTTTAAATCCTGTTCAGCGTCTGAGGGTTAGAGAGGCTTCAGTGTGAAATATGAACCGAAAAGACGTGTTTTAAATTTCTACTTCACATTAACATGAATTTATCAGGACAATAAAAAGTTCAGATTGACAGGTGAACATCACTGTCAGGTTGACTCAGCTACACTTCAGGAGGAAATATTGTGTGTTTGACTCACTCAGCTACGTTTATGTCATGACTCAGGTGCTTTGAGATAAACATGAAAAATAGTTTATTTGTGCTTTTGCCTTAAATGACAGGACAGCTTCATATAGACACAACATGCAGATGACGTGCTGCAAGGACTCAGCCTGTTATTGGGTGCACACCTGACCAGGTGAGCTACAGTGGTGGTTTTCAAACTTGTGGCCAAAGCACACCTGTATTTATATCTGTGCACAATAACTTCCATAAAGTGTAATATAAATGTTTTATTGACTAATATTAAATAACATCTGACAACAACCATTGCTCATGAAATATTTATTAACAATATGATTCAAGAATTCATTTTAAGCTTTGAAATTAAACCAAAGTACCAATAACGTCATTCAATCAGGAAATAATGTGATGTGTCACACACTTGATATTCCCTCGCGCAAATGTTAACAAACAGGTTCCACAGGAAGGTTTATTAAATTGAATTGAATTAAATTAAATTAAATTAAATTAAATTAAATTAAATTGAATTGAATTGAACTGAATTGAATTGAATTGAATTGAATTGATTTGACTTAATTTAATTTAAGATAAGGCAAGGCAAGGCAATTTTATTTATATAGCACCATTCATACACAAGGCAATTCAATGTGCTTTACAAGAGAAATATGTTAAAATAAAACATTAAAGGAACAATAGATCATTAAAAACAAAAGCTAAAAGAAAGAAAAACAGTGCAGAAAATGCATTTAAAAAGCAAACATAAAACAAAAGCAACAGCAGACAAATATAAAAACAATAGCTACAGATTATCCTAACAATAAGTTACATATCTAGTTCACTGGTAATCTGCAGTAAATAGTAATGTTTTAAGCCCTGATTTAAATGAGTTGACAGTTTCAGCCGACCTCAGATATTCTGGAAGTTTGTTCCACAGGCGGGGAGCATAGAAACTAAAGGCTGCTTCACCTTGTTTGGTTTTGATCCTGGGAACACTGAGTAAACCTGTTCCAGATGATCTGAGGGGTCTGGATGCTTCATAACGTACAAGTATATCAGAGATGTATTTAGGCCCGAGACCATTTAGTGCTTTATAGACAAGTAACAAGATTTTAAAGTCTATCCTTTGACACACAGGAAGCCAGTGCAGTGACTTAAGCACTGGTGTAATGTGCTCCACTCTCTTGGTGTTGGTGAGGGCTCTGGCAGCAGCGTTCTGGACGAGCTGCAGTTGTCTGATTGAATTTTTACTCAGGCCTGTGAAGACACCGTTACAATAGTCCAGCCTGCTGAAAATGAAAGCATGAACAAGTTTTTCTGTATCTTGTTTAGACAGAAATTCTTTTATTCTTGCTATGTTTTTAAGGTGGTAGTAGGCTGATTTAGTTATTGTCTTAATGTGACTATTGAAATTTAAGTCTGAGTCCAGAACTACACCAAGATTTCTGGCTTGATTTGTAGGTTTTAGTGTCATGGCGTCAAGGTGAGCACTGACTATTGATCTTTGTTCTTTGGGACCAAAAACAACTATCTCAGTTTTTTCTGTGTTTAGTTGTAGAAAATTCTGGCACATCCACGTATTGATTTCGTCAATGCACTTATTTAGCAGATGTAGGGGACTGTAGTCATCTGGTGACACTGTTATGTAAAGTTGTGTGTCATCTGCATAAGTATGGTAGGAGATGTTATGATATTCCATAATCTGAGCAAGAGGGAGCATATAGATGTTGAACAGAATAGGCCCAAGAATGGACCCTTGAGGAACTCCACATGTAATCTTTGTTCACACAGATTCATAATTGCCAAGTGACACAAAGAAATCCCTGTCTTGTAAATGAGATTTAAACCAATTTAGCACAGTGCCAGAAAGTCCCACAAACTTTTCTAGTCTGTCGAGCAGTATGTTATGGTCAACTGTGTTGAATGCAGCACTGAGGTCCAGTAATACCAGAACCGAAATCTTTGATGCATCACTGCTCAGATGAATGTCATTTAAAACTTTTACAAGTGCAGTCTCAGTGCTGTGATGTGCTCGAAATCCAGACTGAAAGGCATCAAAGGAATTGTTTTGCTCCAAGAAGGTGTTAAGTTGCTGAAAAACAACCTTTTCAATGATCTTTCCTAAAAATGGTAGGTTTGATATGGGCCTGTAGTTATTTATTACTGAGGCATCCAGATTAGGCTTTTTTAAGAGAGGTTTAATGACTGCGGTCTTCAGGGCCGTTGGAAAAAGGCCTGACTGAAGAGAACAGTTGACTATCTGTAGTATATCTGATGCTATGCAGTTAAAAACATCTTTAAAAAAGCTTGTAGGCAGAGTGTCAAGGCAGCAGGTAGTGGACCTAAGGTTTCTAACTATGTCTGTCAAAGTAGCATAATTTAATGGGTGAAAAAGTGCCAAATTAACTGGAGTAGTCTTATGAGGCACAGGTGAATTAGCCACTGTGTTGGAGTTACAGACTGTCTGTCTTATCTTTAAAATCTTGTCTGTGAAAAAAGAAGCAAAGTCATTGCATGCCTTGGTGGATAGCAGTTCAGGAGGCACTGACGCTGATGGGTTTGTCAGTCTGTCAACAACAGTAAATAAAGTCTGTGCATTGTTGTTATTTTTATAAGATAATAGAGTTTACCTCTTTATTAGGGAATGGTTGTGCACAACATACTGAAACAGTTGATTAAAAATTCATTCCTAACTTTTTGTATCGGCCCAATTTAATATTGCAGTAATAATGTGTGGTTATCACCAAATCCCACAGCACACCTGGATTAGCATCACGGCACACCATTTAAGAGCCACTGAGGTTAACCTGTAAAAAACAGTCTCATGACATGTGACACGTCACCAAAAGCCAGCGTAGCTGCAGTATATGTTCCTGCTCGTCTGTGGTGACAACACTTTGTATTAAACAGCTCAGTGTTGTGTTGATGTTGTCAGACTGACTGTTGGTGCTTATAAAATATTTACACAAAGATATCTGATCAATAATCATCAGTCCTGATGTAATGACTCACAGATGAACAGCCATGACGTGACATCACTGTAATGCAGCGTTTAAAACCAGGAAAAGACACCGAACAAACTCTGACAGGGTGTGTGAGCTCACCTCGTGACATCGACATTGATTCTACTTTAATTAAAGATAAATACGTCGGCCAGCTCTCAGGAGAATGGACCTGAGGAAGTGTTTAACCCTTTACTTTGGGTGGTTACACCTGTAGCCCCGCCCCCACACAGGTGCACCAGATGAGCTGTCAATCAAAGCCAGTCTGTCAGTGACACACCTGAGAGCAGCTTTGATCACCTGTGTGGAGCTGTTGGATCTATTTCCAGCTGACAGATGAAGGTTTGTTCACATTGCTCTTTATGAAGGTGGAGAAAATATTTTTAAATATGATATTGAAGTGTGAGGTAATATTTAGAAGCAGGAAGACGTCCTGCGACAGGAGAGCTAAAAATATTCTGATATATTTATATATATTTTCATGATTAATCTTAAATATTTTTACTGCAGTTACATTGTCAGTGAAGGACTCTGACTGTAACAGAGTATTTACAGAGTGGTGTCAAAGGCTGTGAGCACTCCTCCACCACACACTGTGTGAATAACAGATGTAGCTCAGTCTGTAGTTCTGACGCCTCTGTGTCTCTGATGTCACACTGTTAAAGTGTTCTCGTCTTTCACTTTGTGACCCGTCTGTAATTTGATTCCAACATTAAAACAGTCAAACTCTTTATTTTCATAAAGTGACTTTTATTGACTAAACTCACAATAATGGTGGAAACATTTAATCAAAGGCGTCGCTGCAGCCTCGTCACCAGGATCCATGTTGGCATCATACGTGTCTGTAAATCATCTGTACGTCACATCACATATGTTTCAACAGTAGTTAAATTTAGATACAAAAAACATTGTGTCAGTAGACCTCAGCAGCACACACTGACGCACAGAGACACCCTTTAGCAGCCGTATACATCATCATCCTCACTGTGACCTCGTCACATGTCCACGTTTGGTCATGGACTTTCCACGTCCACATATGACGTCCAAGGTACCCTGGGTGTGTTGGTTGTTGACGTTCTGGGACGCCGTGTCAACTTCAGCCTGTTACATGCATTGTCTGTTTTCAAAATACACTTCTGTTTTCACAGGAAATGTACAGTTTGATACAGTCTCTTTCAAAATAAAAGCACTACGTCAGCGCAACACCACCAACTGATGTTTTTCCTTCAACAACACACACACGTGGTTACGTTACAGCAGGCGTTTCACCGAGGTGTCACACCATCCCTCCACCTGCTGATACAGAGTCACTGTGTCACTTTAGAAATATGTGGGAAACATACAGATGTGACATATCTGTGCTTTGCAGAGACGTACACTGCCAACATTGTGTTCTGGAGACTAGACTGAATCACTGAGGGGCCCCAGACCTCAGTGTGGGGCCACTGAGGGGCCACTGAGGGGCTCCTCTTACAAACGTTCATCACAGCAACATTTTCCTACGAACTGAACCAAACTTTAAATTAACGCAAACAGAAGCTACAGAGTTTATAAAGAACACGTCAGCAGCTCGTCTCCGCCGTCCTCCGCTTCTTCCCAGAATGCCTTGTTTGCCTCTGGCTCTGACCCTGGCGGGGCCGACACACCCCCTGGCCCTTGGCCTTCCCTGACTCGGCGGTGCAGGACAGCCCGGTGTCACAGTCGCAGCGTCCCAGCTTCCTCCTCTGCTTGGAGGAGCCTCGCAGCAGACAGGCCTCACCCTCCACCGGGATCCTCTGACACCGTTTACCCGTCAGATAACGGACGCAGCACAGACCGGCCGCACAGTCGCCTGAGCGCACGCAGCTCGACATCTCTGGAGCTGAAACACACACAAACACACATTACTATTGATACACAGCCTGTACTCCTTGTGGTCACTATCTGTCTCCTTGTGGTCACTATCTGTCTCCTTGTGGTCACTGTCTGTCTCCTTGTGGTCACTGACTGTCTCCTTGTGGTCACTATCTGTCTCCTTGTGGTCACTGACTGTCTCCTTGTGGTCACTGTCTGTCTCCTTGTGGTCACTGTCTGTCTCCTTGTGGTCACTGACTGTCTCCTTGTGGTCACTGTCTGTCTCCTTGTGGTCACTGTCTGTCTCCTTGTGGTCACTGTCTGTCTCCTTGTGGTCACTGTCTGTCTCCTTGTGGTCACTGTCTGTCTCCTTGTGGTCACTGTCTGTCTCCTTGTGGTCACTGTCTGTCTCCTTGTGGTCACTGTCTGTCTCCTTGTGGTCACTGTCTGTCTCCTTGTGGTCACTGTCTGTCTCCTTGTGGTCACTGTCTGTCTCCTTGTGGTCACTGTCTGTCTCCTTGTGGTCACTGTCTGTCTCCTTGTGGTCACTGTCTGTCTCCTTGTGGTCACTGTCTGTCTCCTTGTGGTCACTGTCTGTCTCCTTGTGGTCACTGTCTGTCTCCTTGTGGTCACTGTCTGTCTCCTTGTGGTCACTGTCTGTCTCCTTGTGGTCACTGTCTGTCTCCTTGTGGTCACTGTCTGTCTCCTTGTGGTCACTGTCTGTCTCCTTGTGGTCACTGTCTGTCTCCTTGTGGTCACTGTCTGTCTCCTTGTGGTCACTGTCTGTCTCCTTGTGGTCACTGTCTGTCTCCTTGTGGTCACTGTCTGTCTCCTTGTGGTCACTGTCTGTCTCCTTGTGGTCACTGTCTGTCTCCTTGTGGTCACTGTCTGTCTCCTTGTGGTCACTGTCTGTCTCCTTGTGGTCACTGTCTGTCTCCTTGTGGTCACTGTCTGTCTCCTTGTGGTCACTGTCTGTCTCCTTGTGGTCACTGTCTGTCTCCTTGTGGTCACTGTCTGTCTCCTTGTGGTCACTGTCTGTCTCCTTGTGGTCACTGTCTGTCTCCTTGTGGTCACTGTCTGTCTCCTTGTGGTCACTGTCTGTCTCCTTGTGGTCACTGTCTGTCTCCTTGTGGTCACTGTCTGTCTCCTTGTGGTCACTGACTGTCTCCTTGTGGTCACTGTCTGTCTCCTTGTGGTCACTGTCTGTCTCCTTGTGGTCACTGTCTGTCTCCTTGTGGTCACTGTCTGTCTCCTTGTGGTCACTGTCTGTCTCCTTGTGGTCACTGTCTGTCTCCTTGTGGTCACTGTCTGTCTCCTTGTGGTCACTGTCTGTCTCCTTGTGGTCACTGTCTGTCTCCTTGTGGTCACTGTCTGTCTCCTTGTGGTCACTGTCTGTCTCCTTGTGGTCACTGTCTGTCTCCTTGTGGTCACTGTCTGTCTCCTTGTGGTCACTGTCTGTCTCCTTGTGGTCACTGTCTGTCTCCTTGTGGTCACTGTCTGTCTCCTTGTGGTCACTGTCTGTCTCCTTGTGGTCACTGTCTGTCTCCTTGTGGTCACTGTCTGTCTCCTTGTGGTCACTGTCTGTCTCCTTGTGGTCACTGTCTGTCTCCTTGTGGTCACTGTCTGTCTCCTTGTGGTCACTGTCTGTCTCCTTGTGGTCACTGTCTGTCTCCTTGTGGTCACTGTCTGTCTCCTTGTGGTCACTGTCTGTCTCCTTGTGGTCACTGTCTGTCTCCTTGTGGTCACTGTCTGTCTCCTTGTGGTCACTGTCTGTCTCCTTGTGGTCACTGTCTGTCTCCTTGTGGTCACTGTCTGTCTCCTTGTGGTCACTGTCTGTCTCCTTGTGGTCACTGTCTGTCTCCTTGTGGTCACTGTCTGTCTCCTTGTGGTCACTGTCTGTCTCCTTGTGGTCACTGTCTGTCTCCTTGTGGTCACTGTCTGTCTCCTTGTGGTCACTGTCTGTCTCCTTGTGGTCACTGTCTGTCTCCTTGTGGTCACTGTCTGTCTCCTTGTGGTCACTGTCTGTCTCCTTGTGGTCACTGTCTGTCTCCTTGTGGTCACTGTCTGTCTCCTTGTGGTCACTGTCTGTCTCCTTGTGGTCACTGACTGTCTCCTTGTGGTCACTGTCTGTCTCCTTGTGGTCACTGTCTGTCTCCTTGTGGTCACTGTCTGTCTCCTTGTGGTCACTGTCTGTCTCCTTGTGGTCACTGTCTGTCTCCTTGTGGTCACTGTCTGTCTCCTTGTGGTCACTATCTGTCTCCTTGTGGTCACTATCTGTCTCCTTGTGGTCACTATCTGTCTTCTTGTGGTTGCTTTGTGTCGTTTTTTTGTTGTTTGGGTCTCTTTGAGGTAATTTTGTGTCTTATTGGATGTTTCCTGCAGCAGTGCACTCTGGGACTTATACTTGACTTCCAATCACTCACCTTTTGTCCTGTTGAAGCCGTCCGTGTTAATCTGTCCATCCGTCTCTCTGTCCACCTCTCTGTCCTCTTGTCTGTCCACCTGTCTGTCCTGCGAGGACGGTCTCCTCTGAGCTCTGTTACTGCAGCCTCCCGTCTGAGAGATCAATAGACATATCGATGATTATTGGATTGACAGGATGTGAAGATCTTTGAGCGTGAGAGAAGATTTTAGTTTTTGATTAAACTTCTCAACAAGTCTATCTGAAACCATCTGAAACTGTCCGTCCATCAGTCGACTGACAGAAATTTAATATGAAACTGTTCTGATAATGATAAAAAGTCCAAATGTTATTGAGGTAAAGATAAGGCCTCATAAAGTAATCACGGTTATTGAATAAAGTGCAGCAGAAGTATAAAGTAGCTAAAAATGGAAAATTCAAATAAAGTACATTTACTCAGTATCTGAGTAAATGTGTGTGTGTGTGTGTGTGTGTGTGTGTGTGTTTCTGTCTCACTGACCGCAGGTGCGTTACAGTCCGGTGTAGAACACGCAGGTGTTTGTCCTCGGTTGGAGTTGGACGTCGTCTCTGTCCGGCGCTGTGCAGGATGCTCCACCTGGTCGCCATGGGAACGATCCTGATGGACAGGTCATGGTGATGTCACAGTTAAGACCTCAGATAATAAAGGTTGATGTTTGTAAAGTTCACCCTAAAATGAAAACTACGTATCCTCCCTCTGCCTGTGGAGCTGTTTGTCTGTGTGCATAGTTTTGGTGTGAGCTGCAGAGTGTTGGAGACACAGAGACGTCTGTCTGTCTGTCTGTCTGTCTGTCTGTCTGTCTGTCTGTCTGTCTCTCTCTCTCTCTCTCAGCTTGTGGAGCTCAGAGCGCCAAAAAACTACATTTGAAAAACTCAACATTGATGTCTCTTTGCAGAAATCATGACTCGGTTACTCCAGATACTCCACAGACCTTGTTGTGTGCAGTTTCATGTGGGAACTATTTTTGGGAACTATTTGTGTCACTGCACTGAGGGAAGCGTGCATCGACTGTTAGCTCAGCCAGCACCTCACAGCTAGCTAACGTTACAGCTCAGAGAGGAGCACCAGCCTCTCGTCCAGGAGTAGATGCACACTTCCTTCTGTGCAGTGATACGGTGAGCGGGTGAGTCAGGTCAAGGATTAAATGTTTTTGTTTTTGGCACTTTGAGCACCACAATCTGAGACTCATCTAGTTCCATGATATTAGAGCGAAGGCAGATGTCTCCAACACACACCAAAACTTTCTAAAAAAATATCTAAAGTTAAAACATGCTGCACACGGCCCTGCAGACGTCCTCATGTCCTCTGTCTCTGTCCCAAACTGAGGGGCCTCTGGGGCCACAGTTTGGGAACCTTATGTGAAATGTTAAAAAAGATCTGCAGCCGTGCGCTCTCACAGCTCTGTCTGAGGCTCCAGAGGACATCATCACTCTGACTGCAGGACAGATCACAGTCAGGGGTGAAAACATGACTGTCACAGTAAAATCCTGTGAATCTTTCCTGCTGTTATTTCTGTCTCTTCTTTGAAACACTGGCTGTTTGTATCTCTGCAGCGTCTGTGAATCGTCACCATGAAACAGTCGGACTCTTCAGTGAATCTGCTCGCAGCTCATTTTCACATCTTCAGTCACAAGACAAAAAGGTTTCAGTCCGCTGGTTTAATGTTTCATGGAGATTCCTCAGACACAGAAACCATCTGAAAACTAAGAGTTGCCCTTAGCAACAAAAACTGTAAGAAAATTCTTAGAATTATGACATTTTCTTAGAATTTCCCCTTAAAGTTAAGACTAGATCCTCGTAAAGATAAAAGTTTTTCACAGAGCATCTCAGACCTAAAAAAAGCTCCTGAGGTGAGAAACTGTTCGGAGCAGAGAGGAGGAGTTTAGAGGAGAAAATGTTGGAAACACAGAGGTCGGAGAAACATTCTCCAAAAACCTGTCAAGAGTTGAGTCTGTCTCAACCTCTGTCACAGTCTGCAGTTCATCTCATGTCCACTGGGTGTCCTCACACCTTACAGGCTCACAGAGGGGCGTGTCTCTGACAACCAATCACATCACACCTAACAACAGGGTCGACCACACCTCCTCAGTAAGGTAAAAGTTTCTCAGGATGTTTGTGAAAACGACCCTCGGCTGCAGCTGACGATTATTGTCACTGTTGATCAATCTGTCAGTTATTTTCTGATTCATCGATTAGTTGTTGGGTCAATGTCAGAAAATGTTGATGAGTGTTTCCTAAAGTCAAAGACGACATCCTCAAATATCTTGTTTGGTCCTCAACCCAAAGATTTTCAGTTTAATAATTATATTATCAAAATAGTCATTCATAAATTTGTTTGTGAAATAATTTATTAATCTATAAATTAACAGAGTAAATTACAAAGTTTATAAATTCATTTCATTTTTATTATAATGGGCGATAAAAAGAGGAATAATAAAAATATTTTCAAATTAAATAATAATCCATCAATAAATAGTTCAATTAAAAGAAGGATTTAAAAAAGCAACATAAGAGAGTTCATCATTAAATGGATGTGGATGGATTCATATTATTTGTAAATTCTTTTTATAACTGAAATTATTACCCAGTAAAATATCATATGATGAATAACTTTGTAAATTAGTCTATTTATGTATAGATTAATGAATTAATTTACAAAAAAGGATTCAGATGGTGTAATGTACGGTGTATACAGAAGTGTCAATACTACATGAATTAGTCTTTTTATTTATAGATTGATAAAAACAATATTAATGCTTATTTTCATACTACAATTATTTATTCTTTAATTAAATGCATTATAACAGTTTCCGTGACACTTGTGGTCCTCTGTAACCAGAGTGCAGTAAAAGTATGACTGTGTATTAATGTGCGTGTAGATTCATGAAGACTACATAATTTAGTCTATTTATTTATTGATTAGCACATTTACAAACAAAAAACAAACAAAATGATCAATACCTATTTCAAAATTATAATTAATCATTTTGTTTTGTTTCAATTTGTTTATAATTTAATTATTTACTTCTACCTGCTTTATACTGGGCGGCACTCTGCTGTACGGAGGACCATCAGTGTCATGAAAACTGTAATAATGCCTTTAATGAACGAACGACTATTTTAATAACACAATTATTGATTAATTTATTAATGCAATTTTACAATTTTTGTGACACTCGTGGTCCTCCATGGTCACACAGATGCAGTCAGACAGTGTTTAATGTGAATATAGAATATAAATACCACAGTAAATCATATCTGCATCTCACCTGCAGCTCGGAGCTCTGCTGCGTCGTCTCTTTGGAGGATCTGATGGTGTTGGAGTCCAGAGCCAGACCGCAGACCAGAGACACACACAGGACGCTGCGCCACACCCACATCCTCTTCCTCCGATCAATCGATCAATCAATCAGTCCTCTGTCAGGTATCGATCACTGATCCTCTGACCTGCTGCTCTCGCTCTGATCAGATGAAACCAGCTGTCAACATTTACTGCTGTAATTTCTTTTCTGGTTTTAAGTTTTAAAATAAATTTAGTTTGATTATTGATCTGATTATTAAAATAATTCCTTCCAGGATCTTTAAAAGTTTCCTTTAATTCTGTCACTAACTGCTGAGTCTGAAAATGAAATAAATTCAGTTGTGTATTTTCCTGCGTCTGAGTGTCTCTGCTCTGTTGCCTCCCTCAGGTGCGCTTGATTTTTATACCCCTCCCCTCCCTCTGATCCGTCCCGTCCCTCTGAAGTTTTGAAGGTGTGTTTGAAGCTCGACCGCATCAGTCGGTGGAGACTTCCTTCCTGGAAGCCCCGCGGGCGTCCTCAGGCGAAGGCGGGACGTTTGATACATGACACCGCAGAGACCACAGAGAGATGAAAACACACCTGGAGACACGAGACAGGTCGAGCTGTCTGTGTGTGGTGGTGCTTGATGTGGTCTGAGTGTGGGGATAAAGACTCATTAGAGCCTGAGCTGTCTCCGTCAGGAGGTGTGTGTGTCAGGATGTGTGTGTGTTTACAGGTGATTAAAGCTGATTAACAGTTTCACATGACGACACCAGGTGAAGAGTCTCACACTGATCCACCCAATCGCTCTTCCAATAAAGCCCTGTTTCAGATATGTCCAGGTGTGTTAGTGTGACGGACAGGTCGTCCCGGCCAATCACAGAGCTGTCCAGGAGAGACACCAGGACAGGTTCATATGGTGTCCTCAGGACCAAGACAGGAAGGTAAAACCAAGACCAAAGCTGTGGACGAGATCTGGGGTTAAAGTGTTAATCTGATGCTTCTCTGTGGAGGCTGAGAACAGCTGTGTTGGCAGTTGTTCTTTAAAAGGCTGTGTCAACTCAGTGTTTCGAGTTAATGAGATAATTATCACAAGAAAATGACTTTTGCGACCTCAAGTTAAAAGAAGTTCATCATCTCTACGTATCCGCCTCATGTTTTCCCAACAGTCTAAGAAATTAAACCCTTATTATGGAAAAATCAGCTTTGTTTTGTCAAAATACTGAAACGATTAACTTGTGATAACACAAAATAAATAAATAAATAATAATAATAATAATAATAATAATCACAACCTCGGCTGTTTTTGACTTCCGTACATTCAGACTTTGACTGACGGAAACAACTGTGTGAGAGAGAAGTTAAATCTCAGAGAGCTTTGGACTGTTAGTACGACTAAAACCTAAAGATGTGTCTCGTCTCTCTGACTTTAAAATGTTAATCAGCATTTATCACTGGACAGTAAGCTGACAGCTTTTAACTTCTCGTCAGCTGTGAGGTTCAGATTTCAGATCTTATGAGATAATAATCGATGATTCAGAGACTCTATGTTTCTGTCGTCTTTTTTCACTGAAGACATTTTGTCAAAGTGTCTGTGCAGGAGAAGCTCAGGTGGAAATAATGAAACAAACATTCAGCACTGTACTGAAGTGAAAAGGTACTTGAGTCTTTGTACTCCACTACATTTATCTGGCAGCTTTAGTTACTTTACAGATTTTACACACAAACAAGAGTTTATCAAATCTGACGTGAGCTTCAGTTGATCCAAGTTAAGATGAATCTTTACAGATTTTACTTTTAATACTTTATAAACATCTTCCTCATTTTACTGAGCTACATTTACTGACGTAACATTTTCAGTGCACTCTTACTTTCACAGTGTGGTATTAGTACTTTTACTGGAGTAATCTGAATACTTGCCCCACCTGTGATGTTGGAGCCGCAGCAGATCAGTCAGACAGATTATTACAGGAAACCACCTGCTCCCAGTGATGAGAACAAAAGACCTCACAGGTGACAGGAAGTAGCACAGGACAGGTGTCACGTGACAGAAAAAACAAATAGCACACGTCACTCACCTCGCGACCCCCAACCCTCCGCCTCCTCATGAGCCAGCAGACAGCTGTCAGAGAGAACTCAACTCACAATAAATGTTCACATGGACACGACATGAGCGTCAGTGTCATGGTCTCACTTTTTTAGTCAGTTTATTGAACATGTTAAAATCATACAAACACATAATAAAAACAAAAACAAACAGGGCCTCACAAACATATAAGAAACAAATAATATTGTCCGTGTCAGAAGAAGCTGAAAACGTCTCTGAAGAGTTACTGCTGGGGGCCCTTGAGTTACTGCTGGGGGCCTCAGAGTTACATACAGTTTCCTATGTTATGCACAGTCCAGTAGAACAGACCACTGGGTCATTGAAGGGCCCAAGATTAAAAAAAACATACAGATAAATATATATACAAAAGAAAAAAGTAAAAAGTATTTTTACATCCAATATTATAAGAATGTGTAGCCTGTTATTTTTGTTATTTGATTCGTGGAGAAAGTATGTTGAGCATTTTAAATACAATTACTCCACTCAAAAGTATTTTGTTACAAATTACATTTGCTTTTTATCGGCCTTATCAAATACAAATTACAAAATACTCAAATGTAACTGAAATGCATATTTTACACTGAACAAAAATATAAACGCAACACTTTTGTTTTTGCTCCCATTTTTCATGAGCTGAACTCAAAGATCTAAAACATTTCCTATTCACACAAAAGACCATTTCCCTCAAATACTGTTCACAAATCTGTCTAAATCTGTCTCTTTGCCGAGATAATCCATCCCACCTCACAGGTGTGGCATATCAAGATGCTGATTAGACAGCATGAATATTGCACAGGTGTGCCTTAGGCTGGCCACAATAAAAGGCCACTCTGAAATGTGCAGTTTTGCTTTACTGGGGGGGTCTGGGGGGGTCAGAAAACCAGTCAGTATCTGGTGTGACCACCATTTGCCTCACGCAGTGCAACACATCTCCTTCACATAGAGTTGATCAGGTTGTTGATTGTGGCCTGTGGAATGTTGGTCCACTCCTCTTCAATGGCTGTGCGAAGTTGCTGGATATTGGCAGGAACTGGAACA